GGAGATTTATGAAAGATTAAATATGGAATTAAGAGCGTTCTGTGAAGCTTAAAAACTGCGCAACATATACACGCGAGAGAGATCTTTTTTCTTTCTTCGTAACTTCGAAGATTTTTCAAGATAAGCGTTTCGTTTTGTTTTAACGCGTTTTTCTCATGGAAAAAAATCCTATCTCGTGTTTAATGTGTACATGTACGCGCGGCATCCAGATATGTATTGTGAAAAACACTCGTCGCGATTGTACACGTGGCTACACGCGAACCCGCAATTTTTCTGTTCTCATCATGTCTCATGTTTCTACTTGCCGCCGCGCCGTGCAAATTGCGCAAGTTTTCGGGGTCAGTAAAGTCTCTCTGGCGCAAAGAAAAATTTCGCAAATCAAATGAAACGGTCGTTAGCCCGCTGCACTCGCTATTGACGCTTGCAAATATCTACGTGCAGATAAGCAAACAAAGAGAAAAAGAGATATTCAAGTTTAGAAATATGAAAAGTGAGATTAACTTAGGCAAAAGTATGTTGCGAGATTATTGTACTATTACTTACAAGTTCTCTCTGTTGTAATAATAAAAGTTATATGTAGAAACAAATTTTGGGTATGTATTAAAAGAGCGCCGTAGAAAAACAATATATAAACATAAAAAATATAGAAATATAAAATATACACGTATAAATAAACATACAATATGTCAATAATATATAGAATAAAAATTCATAAGTAGTGTAGATATTATATTAATGAAGAAAACTACTTTTTTTGTGTGAATTTTTCTTGAATAAAAATTCACAATAAGTACATTTCGTTTCATTAACCTTAAAAAAATGACCGAAAACTATTTTGCATCTATAGCAAATCAATGTTTCTCGTTGCGTTCTGGCGAGCATCGACATGCGAAAGATGCGGTGAATGAGAAGATCCGAGAACGCATAGATCGAAACGCATCGGGCCGCTTTTCTCTCACGTACGCGTGCCATTATTTCTGCGCTCCGGCGGCTCTACTTAAATCATTATCTGACACTGTCAGCCTGCGACAAAGGCACGCAAGATATTTCATTGGCCGCCGGGGAGTGTGTTATACACGCTATTTAAGCCGCGTGCAAACACGAGCACGCGCGTCCCGCTAAAGTCAAGAATATGCACGCGCGTGTTCCACTTCGGGCGAGCGATAGCGGCATTAGCGAATTTCGCATCGCGCAACAATTCGCAATAACTTGCAACAACCCACGAACGATAGAGCACGCATGATGGTCAGACTAGTTGATAAAAAAAATGCGTCGAAAACCGTAGAATATTGAAATAAATATTTGATTGAAGACATTTGGTTTCTTTATTATTTCTGACACGTCATGTTATATTAAGATGTTAAAGAATAAATTAATGTTGTTTCTTGTGAAAAATCTTTTTTTTTTTTTCAAATTCTAAAAAAGAAGAATAAATACGAAATTTAATATAAAATATCTATTATTGCTTTTACTGGCGTGACTTTGAATGTCTGATCATTGTATTCGTCTTCAGAGATACAATTGTTTGAAAATGGACAATTGAAAACAGTGGAGATGACGTTTTTATCTTTTTAGGTCTTTTTAAAGATGCTTCTAGATGCTTTCTTCTATTTGGAAAAAAATGTGAAAAAAAGATGTTCTTTTCGAAACCGTTTCACTTTCATTTAAAACTTTTTTTTTTATCACCAATAATTTTGGAGCAAATTGACTGGATTGGAACATTCTTTAAAGTTCAAAATGGAACATTCTTTATAGTTGAAAAATTTGCGAGAAAGCAAAGTAAAGAAGCACATTCTTTTGTGTTTAGTATATATTTTTAGACGTGAACAAGAAAAGTGAATGGCGTGATATATATGCATGGTTTGAAAAGCGATAAGTAGAAGGTGATCTTTAAATGGCAAATGACTGGCGTTGCAATATATTTAAATGTTAATAACTTATATAATTTTACAGACACGACGTATGCGCCGACGAAATCGCGAGACGTCAGAAATTCGGTTCTTAAATCGCAAGTAGGCCAGTACTTTTAGATCGAGCGACATCCGGTTGAGAATCTACTCTCGCTTAGCGACCAACTTAAAATTCGAAGAATCTCGTGAAACAACATTTAAAAGTATTAAGTACACGGTTGACATTTCGACTTATTATCAGCTTGAATATTCGCAAAAAATACCTTTCTCAAGTAGGAAAAGTGAGGGTGCGTTCAATTTCGATAATATAGTCAATATGTGAATCATAAAGAAGGCGCGAGACGGGCGCGTGAGGAGCGTCGAGACCCGTGAAAAAAATTTCTGTAAATGAGTCGCTTGTCACCGCTGCAAGCATTCTCTACTCGCTTGGGTGGAATGAGGCAAGTGAGCGGAATCGCACGTTCGCGCGCTCAACTGTGAACGCGCCGTCTTTACATGCTACTTACGTACGCCACGCCGTCCATTAGTGACGACAAAGAAAAAGAAAGGAAACGACTTTTCGCACTCTCGGAGACTCTCGCCGCACGGTAAAAATCTCTTGTGCTAATAACATAGTGTATGTGTGTGTGAAATTCATTAAAAAATTGTGCTTTACGCCGTGTAAACAAGAAAAACAATAATGAGAAGACTAACAATTGCTCGAGGCATGTAACATTAGAATTATGTAGTAATAAGTAACACAAGAGCACATTACTCGCGAAATCTAATTATATTACCGACTTACGCCGTCGTAATGTATAACTTGGCATAATAATATTGATCTCGCGTGAAGTAATCGACCGACTCGTGTGCGTTTTCCCGAAGAATTTCCCCCGCGCAGTAGGTTCACGCGACCGTATCTCTCAGGCCGCGCGTTCCGAGTGTTTGTGTCAATCAATATCTGACAAATAACATCAGTGAAGAAACATATAACCGAGAACAACATAACAAACAAATGCAGAAATACGCGTATATACCAAAATTATAATTACACAGATAAATCGTTGTCATACATTTTGAGATCGGAAAACAACTCCTCGAAGAAAGAGGAACTTTCGGAAAGAGCAGTCTGGGATTCTCTATCTTCGCGAACGAGACGAATAAAATCCGAACGGAATGAGAGGGGAGCGGATTTTTTTCGGTTACAAAAAAACGATGATCCGAGACTGGCCATTCGAGTCTCAAGTGTGTGTGCGCGCGCGCACGCGGAATTTTGAGGATTTGTGAGAGGAGAGACGACGACAACGACGATGAAGCGGACACGGAGGTTTTTACGGCTGCTTGGCAACGAGGCCAGGCGCACAGCCAGACCGAACCAGCCCAGCGGCAAGCGAACCGGCGCCTACCGCGGGTCCGTCGATCCGTTGAGGTCAGAGCCCCTCTTTCTCACAAAGAAGGGCCCCACCTCCCTTGGACGCCCGCCGCTGTTTATATTGGGTGTCCCGCTTCTGATTTCACCATACAGAATCCGTCGTACGGAATTGATGCGTTCGCAATGCGCGTTAAACGACGATCGTTTATCGCGATCGAATAAAACGCGCATTTCAAACAAGATCGTGGAAACGTGCGAACTTGACCGAAACAATTACGAGAAAGGTTAAAGTATCTCATAGTGCAAAACCAAGTGTTTTTTTTTATCCTATTTTTTAATTCTTTCTTAATGTAAATATAATTTTTTTTCATATTTTATTATGTTTATGTAAAACTTGGTTTTTTAACAGGAAAATTCTTTACTTGTAATTTTAAGCGTTACAGTATCAATATATATTTCTCATTTGTGAATCAAATTGACTCAAACTGAAAAATCTAAACTGCCAAACTTAAATTTTATTTCAATAATAGAAATCACATGCGATAAGACAATAATTGAACAACTTGTCGCAGAACTCTTTGAGAGAAAAGCTCTCTTGACAATGACTTAGACTGATAAAATCGAATCGAGAAAGCCAAGGTTCAACAACAAAGCTTACGTGGAAACGACATCTGCGTATGCAGAATATCTTTCCGGTTTGTAAATCGAAAACTCATTAACAACGATTCTCGGAGGCAAAAAACAACTTCGCTGTACAAGGTCAGAGATATTAATAGAAATTAGCAGTTGTCACCGTGTGGCAACCAATCTTAATTGAACAGTATTACGCTAATGGCTTCTCGGCCAACGCTTTTTTTCGTCGTACATATTGGGGTGATTCGATAACGATAAAATTCATCAATGAAAATAACTTAAAATTTTATTTGAGTTTTATCGAAACAATTTTAATCGGAGTAACGCTGTTATCTTGACACAAATGACCAGAAACCATTCGTGTTTTCTATGTAATTTTTGAGGCACGCCAGTTTTGTTTGACGCCGTTAATTTCGTCATCGCGCGACCTATGACCGACTCGCACGTATAGCGAGATTCACACACGCGATAGAAATAGTTTTGTTCTACAATCAGTTCGCGAATAGACAAAAAACCAACATATTAAGGGCCGTTTACAATGGGAGTAGGTAGTATAGAGTAAGAAGTAATGTTCTTGGAGTTATTTCATTTTTGTTTATATAAGTAATTATTTCGCATTTTTTGACACGCGTCTTTTATTGGCTAACAGTGAGGCAGTAGGCAAATGGGAATTGCTCATTTCGTTATTCCCGTCGTTTCTTCACCGAAAAATAGTTTACTCTATACTCCTACAGCCTTACTACCTTCATTGTAGACTAGCCATTAAACGTACTTAAAACGTACGAGCGCAATTTTTCAAAACGTGGAAACAATGTTCTATTTGTCAGAAACGACGAAATAACGACGTATTTATACGATGATATATACACGCAAGAAGTTATTTTATTACAGAGCGGTTTTGAAATTTGCGCCGCGAAAAAATCATGTTCAAGTTTTGCTCGTAAATGAGATTTGCGAAACGTCAAACTACATAAATCTCGGCCGCTTCGCAATTACGACGAAACGGATGTCGCCAGCGCGCGTGTCGCGCGTGATTTTTGCACGAAACAAACACGCGACCCGATATACAACGCGCGGAAAATGTTCAAAAACACTGTACTACTCACCCATGTGAGCGAGGTCGATGATCGGGATCTCGCACTTGCTGAGGAGAGTCTCGCAAGTCTGAGTGATGAGAGGCGCGCTGGTACACCAGCTCGTCTTGCCCTCCTCTCTGGAAATCGACCGCTCCATATTTCACACTGAATTATTATTCTGTATCAATTTTTTTCGGCAACGCTTTCGCAGACTTTCTCTCCTCTCTCTCTCTCTCTCTCTCTCTCTCTCTCTCTTCCCCCGTCTTTCCCTCTTTCTATTTCGTTAGCAAGAGCGACGACAAAAAAACCAATAGCTTCACTCGCGCACGCTCGCTTGCTCGAAATCCACTACCCGGTATAAACTCTCCGCTCACTGCACGATGCTCACTGGAATATCCATGAGAAGATCATGCTACCAATGCGCGTGCACACGATCGCTGTTTCTTTGTACACACACGCACACACATACACACACGAAAACCGGAGCGACGGTTCGAGCGATAACGAGGCCGCTGCTATTCTCTGTCGCACATGTGTGAAAAAAACCGTATCTTCAAACGAGATGTTTACCGCCCTTTAACGGTGGCTGTACGAAACAAATTTATTATGCAGCTGGTGATACGGCAAATTTGCGACAAGGCTGTGGACTAGTGAACACATGCTATGCAGGCGGAATGGCGGATAAAGAGACGGTTGCAAAGAAGGAGAACAATATCCCAAAAGAAAGTCAAAACAACCGAACCGTTGCGCGTCCGTTCGCTAACTGTCGAACGCGGCCGTTCGAGCGTCGAGTTTTAACCCGCGTTCTCAAACATCGCCCGAATGCATCTGAGCGCCGCCGAACGCTGCTGAGCATGCGCGCGACATTCAGTGCGCTTGTGCACGAGCAAATCATCTATCGTCAGGCGCGCGGATTATTACACACGTGATAGTACGTTTTTTCTGCGCAAAACCGCTTCTACGATGACACACTTTAATCTGGTACCTGCAATAGAAATGATGACGGACTGCGATCACAGAAATGAATAAAGCGTTTACGAAATTGTACACTGTTAAGTGTTTTTATTATTATTTATGTTCAGGTAAATTTTTGTTCTATATTTTCTATGACTTTTTTGTTTTTTTTTGATCTTGTTAACAAATTTATTTATCCTAGATATGTCTTTGTTATTTTAATCTTAATCGTTTTTGCCAATAAGTTACTTCTTGCAACTAACGTGTATAACAACTTAAAAGTAAAATTATTAGATATCTAATTGTTAGTTATCTGTTCTAATGTTGTGTTAGATATCTGTTCTATGTTTGTTTTAATCTATTTAGTAATTATAATGATTAATAAAAACCAGCAGTCTTTTTAACATAAGTTATTAGTATAACATAAGTTTTTAGTTTTAGTTATTCGTTTATTTTGATTAGTATAGTAGTTTATTTTTTAACTGTAATGTTTATGTTGTTACTTTATTTATGTGTTTTTAGTTGTAGAAAAACATTTCAGCCAATATCGATGTGAAGCTAGTTGAGTCACGTGTTCTAAAATTCAATTGTTTCTAACTGCAGAAATTGCCTTTTTAACAGACGTTACTTTTTATTTTGTATTACATTGTTAACAATAAAATATTTATCGCGTAAAATAGATTATTTACAAATCTCTTCAAATTTGAACTACGTATTAAACAAAAGGTTTTATAAGCACCTGTGAAATTTCTAAACGTTTAACTTTTCCAAAGAAATAATTACAATTAGAAGTGACATTTTTTACATGTTATATGCGTAAACCCGAAAAAAGCACATTTTAAACTCCAGCTTATCAAACTATACTTACGATATTGATAAAAAAATAAGATGCGGTAGATTATTAACATATGAATACTATAAAGCAATTTAGAATTGTTGACTTAGTTATCAAAGCTGTAGGAAGATTGCAACATTTTCTGATGCTCAATTCAAAGCATAATTATGCATAACAATAACAAAGCCTCTCAACGTACTTAAATCTTGACGTACTACTTTTGTGTGATTTTTTCTTGCTTTTGACTTTTGTATCAAAATTGAGAAGTCATTTTACCACTTTTAATAGCTGAGTAAGATATAACAGATTTAGTTAATTAACACAAGCTTATGGTCGGATAACTAACGGCTTTATAACAAAGCCAACGTCGTATTTTTGTTTCACGAGTCGAACTGAACTGAATCTGACGTTTTGAATATATAAAAAGGAAATCTATTTACCTCACTACTTGTCTCTCAACTTATCTCTTATCGTGACACTAGTATTTTACCGTCATTAATAAATTTGTTTGGAAGAACTGTTGCTTCGAAAATTTCTAAGTCATCAATACGATAGAGCTTCAATACAAGCAGACGTTATGAAGACGTTTTATAGATATTCTGTGCTCCTCGTGAACGCTCGGTTTGATCTTTGCTACATCCTGGATACTGTCGAAAATTACAAATATCGGATTAAGAATTATTTCAATTTGCATATATTTAACTAATAATTTTACATCATTTAAAGATTATATTTTACTTTTTATTATTATTCTAATTTTTATCCTTTTCATAAATTTTTCTCTTTAAAGTTACTTTTTCCTCTCTCGTGCTGACATTCTACTATCTTACATTTGAATAAAAATAATCAAATGATTTCTGAAAAGAGAGACTCACCAACTCGTGGATCTTGGTTGAAGTGGACTACGCTTCAACCAATTAGTCTCCACAGAGTTGGCGAGTGTCTCTTTTCAAGCATTTTGGTTATGACATGGTCATATTGCGCTGGATTGTTAATAAAGACTAAGGAGTAGAGATGGAAGAGAATAAATAACGAAAAAATCTCGGTTCCGACGAAATAATAAGTAAAACAGAAATCTGATTCTTTATTGCAATTTTTGAAACCATGCAGGTTTTGCCTGCTTGGTTTTATTCTCCAGAAAGGATTGATTAATTAATTAATCAGGCAATCTTTAAATTAAGCAGACAAAACCTGCATGGTTTCAAAAATTAGTATTTTACAATGTTTATAAAAATTTAAACATTAAAAACTTTGCAACTTATCGGGCAACGTTTTTTATACGTTTCTACGAAATCGGACCGCAACTTAAAAAGCGGACATTTCGACGTTTCTGCTACGTTAACGTTTTAGAAACTTTTAACGAAACGTTGCTAAGTTTTCGGAAAACCCGTTGCAGAAACGTTTGTGCTACTAACGATGCTATGGGTATATCAGATAACAAAATTGAAACTTCAGAAAAGTCTACAGGCACAAGTTGCAAAAGAATGTCAGCAACAATGTACCATCAGCCAACATTCTAAAGAAAAATCCGACTATAATAAATTTCTTTTCAATTCTAAGTTTTTTGAGGTTTTAAAATCAAGTGTTAGAAAAAATAAAATATGATTTTTTATGGGAAGATAAATTTATATCTTACTACTTTTTGTCACTTGAGTTAGAACAACCTCGTCCGGTAACGGAACATCTAAGTTTGGATTTTTCAAAGCAACTATTTTTTTCTGTCGATAACGGAAATTGTTGTTTCGTTGCTTTTTTCTTCCCGATTGATTTTTTGTGAGAACATTGTTGTCTACAGATCTTCAACGCTGGACTTGCTTGTAACGCAGCATGACATCGAGCAGGAAATGTTATTGCAGGCGGAACAAACGTGGAGACCATCTGTGACACAGTAGATGTTACATATTGCTCTTTACGCTAGTTTTATATGTTTTGTCACAATAGAATTTTCATAATTCTGAGCATATTCTCTACATATATAGTGATAATAAATTATTAAGTAATATGGTTGAATAATACGTTTATCTTGCTAGTAATCATCTATAAATACTGGCCCTACAGTGCACTTGATTAATCTTGATAAACTGTTTGATTTATTTTAACGTAACAATATAATTTTCATTCAACAAAATTGTTGTTTGGTATAAAATTATGTTGTTTGAATGTAACACAAATATGAGTCAAACAAATCGGATTATTAAATTTAAAGGAACCGTTCTCTCTGTGTGATTATCGTGACAGTCAATGTGTTATAAAGTACAAGTAAAATTGATGTAAAAATATCAAAATAATGTTTTCTATAAACAGTTAATTCCATTTTCTCATTATAAGATCTTTTTTTTTATCACTATTGCGAAAAATGAGTCATAAAATTTTACAATATCTTGTAAAGATATTATCTCTCTTTAATCTTGTGACTAACTCTGTTTTTGGCGGCCCCGAAATGAGCTATAAAAAAAACAAATTGCTTCTGTGTTATGTAAAAATGATTTGTGTGAAGTTAGTTTGCTTTATCATGAACGCAGATGGAATGGAAATGCAATTTACTTTATTACTGCTTGCAATGAAACACCGATAATGTATCGATTGTTACTTTAAAAGCGCTTAATGCAGCAAGATTAAGTACGATAACGCACCCTAGTAATTAAAAACGCTAATAGCACTTGTATAATGATCAAGGTGCTGGTCATGACGTAAGCGACGATGACGATTCTGAGAAGAATGGGGCTGATCGCAGCGGCGCAGCCATTCACGTTTATCGTTTTGTCGTCTGTCATCTCCGTGTGCATGCAAGGTGTCATTACACGCAAGTTGCAACAGCTGAAGGGGACACTGCGATCTCTGTAATCCTCGTCCGAGATCCGGCTTTGTCTCGTCATGTCTTCTCGAGATGCGTAATCTACATTCTTAGAAAGTTGTCATTGAATATTATACATATACATTAGTGAGAATATATAGAACGGGACATCTAAAACAGGCTACTTGAATATTATTCATTTGAGTATAGATAAGCATACAATGTGAATAAATATTTGTATAGATCCGCTATCGCTCTGTGTACTTCACAAGAAAAAGGGAGAAAACCACTTTTCAGAATTTTACCTGCCAGTCGAAGAAGAACCAGTCAGTATAGAAAGTATGACCGCAGCATTGTAACATGAATTGTATTTCATCGATGGCATATTTGTAAGATGCTGCACTGCCGTACATTCGCATCGAGGTATTAAAGACGTCGACCAACGTCTCTTGTCTCACACTGATGTGGTACCCTATTGAGGCTAAGGTCGCCGTGTTCATAGCGGCACACACGGCTATGATTATCAGGAGGTACCTTAGAACACGCTTAGTCTTCGGACGAAAGTTCGATAATGTACGCCTGCAATAATGTCTCTTATCCGTTTATTGCAAATAATTAATAAAACACAATTAATAATGAGACAATATAATCTGTTTTTTACTTATTTCCCTTTGACACAAATGAGGAACTACACACTGAAAAATCACAAATAGAAAAACAATATTTTAGTCATAAAAATTAAAAATAATTTAAAATAAATAAAACACTCTATAATCGTCAAATTATAAAAATTTACAATTGTAATAATTTTGACGCAAAAAATTGTTTTTGGCTCTGATTAACTCTTTTTGACGTTTATAATTCTACATCTATCAATAAAGTCAACATCTCGTTAAATACATAATATTAAAAAATTCTTAATTATTTTCTTAGCTTTTTTTTAATCGTCACAGGATAGACGAGCATTACCTGTGTATAGCACGTACGGTTATGATAGCACATAGCAACCCTAAGACCACATCCGCAAGGGTGAGGGCGACTGGCTGTAGGCCACCTGCAAAATAGATCACCTGCCACTCCGCAAGTATCTCCAGAGCGAGCACGAGGAGACGCTTCGCTTCGAAGACGGCGAGCGTGAACGCCACACCGTGACCGAATCTCTCCTTCCATCCGCAACTGCAGTTTGTTTTTCCGCGGTCATGGATCAAACGTGGTCGAGACTGTCTTCGGTCATTCATCGGCCGCACGGCGCCGCGTCTATTTTAATTAATCGGTTTCGTTCTATTTTTTCTCTTAAAGGTCATGTGTACGCAAAATAGCTCGGTACACGCCTAGCAATTTGTACGTAACAGCATTTTATTTATAGAACTAATTGCGTCAAGTGCAGTATCAAGTTAATTGAAGAAATTTATTTATTTTATTCTTATTGCACCACGTTCAATTATATTAAATATTTTTTGTGCATATCTCAAAGAAAATTATATAAAAAAATTTATGTAAAAATTTATATTGTATAAAAAACAATATAAAACTGTCTCGCGTTATCAACATTATATTAGGATATAAAGTAATATAAAATAAGCCGTTTTGGTTATGTCCACGTAAAAAACAGCAAAGGCATGATTTCATGCTGATGTAATGTTGCTTATTACTATTTTAAACAACATTAACGTTCTTCGTGACGCCGTGTCGCAACGCGAGGAATTGTTGGCCGTCGCTGTTTATTACTCATTGTCGCCGTGCGTGCCGGAAGAAGTATGCGAACTAAAAAATTATTTTGACGAGGCACAATTAGTCGCGCTCATCAGGGTCCGCGCAATTGAACGTGTGGATCGCACGTGCTTCTCGCACGTATCCTAAATGTGCACGATGTGCTAGAGTCGCCCGAGATATAAATTTGTCGCAGTAAAGTCTTTACGTCTCTTTCAATTATCCCTGAGTTTTTCAAAACATTTTACTCAATTGTACTCAACTAATTTGATATATTGTGTTAAAATATTTAAGAGAAGCGTTTTTTTGTTGAAAACAGATAATATCTACATGAAAAACGAGGAAACTAGTATTATGTATATAGAGTTGTTAGCTTATTTACAAGATCCTTTACTTGGAAGAGTGCGGTTTAATGCTTCTTTTAAATGCGCTTGGCGTTAGATAACATTAACTCGGTTTAAAGTCAAGATCGACTTTGAGATCAAAGTCAGTTAGCGAAGACGCGAAGAACATTTACCGGCAGGCATGTTAAAACGGGACGAACTTCTTGAATTTTACAGGGAAATTTACAGTTATGGGAATTGTGGTTGCATAACGTGGTTAAAATACGTCCGACGTGAAGTATACTGAACATGCAGTAATCGTTGCTCTCGATAACGATATATCGAGATTTCAATATTAATTTATTTTAGCTGATTTAATTTATTGATATTCATATCAAACAAAAAGAAATTCGAATTTTACTTAAAGTAGTGTTTAATAAAATATATATTTTTTTTGAAATGTTTTATATACATATATAGATACGTATTTACTTTCATTTCCTTATTATATTGCTTATAAATATGTATAATATATCGCGTTTATAATTAAAACATGTAAATTATGATTCTGTTAATTAGATCAAAAAAATTAAATTATAAAGAAATTTATTCTCTATTCCAGTGTTTGAATTTACTTGCAACTGCCGAAAGCTTTTTTTGAGCGCTATACGTATGCGGCTACGCCTCTCTCAGTTTCTCTTCACCGCACTTACTTCAGCGATGGTCCCCGTTGCAATATCAAAACGCGTCTCACCACCGATGACAAAGCAATGACCGTCGCTGAGATAAGTGCGGCACGGAAGAGAAAGCGAGCAGCGTAACACTTATGAAAATCCTTCGATGCAAATAAAATTCGAGCACTGCGTTGTACTCTCTTAAAGATACACATTTAAATATATACATCAAATATAGCTGTAAGTTTTTGTTTGTAAATTTTTGGTTATTTTTATCTGTAAATTTTAATACTACCACTGTATGCTAACGTATAAAAAAATTGAGAATAAAAAGACTTGACTTTTTGCTTTCAGGCACGTGTTGTTTTCTTAGAAGAACCATTTCGTTCCGCTTAGCCGTGATGATCAATTACGTTACATAGGCCACATTACAGTACACATGTTGTCAGGAGCACTTCTTCTTTTTATATGTAATACATAATGATATTTTATATGTAATACATAATGATAATTATTTAGTTTAGAGCAGCTCCGATGATGTTGATCATGTTGTCAAGAACATATACTCGATTAACAATCAAGGTTTTTAGCCGTCGCTCGTTATATTTGTTGAAAAGTTATTCATAAATATGACCACACAAACGAATGTTAAAAACCAACATTTTTCTTATTATTTGCAATATTATACAACACTACAAATTTTTGTTATTAATATGACACATAAATATTATTCAGTATCTTGTAATAAAATATCACTGAGAGGATACATTTCTGACATGAAAGTGAAAAATTTGTCTATACGTTCATGGCAAAACGATGTTTAAATAAAAACTCAACTAAATAGAATTTGTAATGCTCTACTGATGTACCATGTGGAACGTCGCTTCGCGTAGAAAGTGTGTGTGTGTCTAGAGACACATAAATTTGGATTGAATCTCGCTTTGCATGGAAAATTGTGAACCCATGTGGAACCTTGGTTTTAGTCGTCGTTTGTTGTAGCAAGTTCTTTATACAATAGATTCAACCCAAACCTATGTTTAGTTTTCTTTGATAATGGAGCCTCTCCGTAGGAGGCGGAACACACTGTCTTCATAACTTTCCACGCAAAGCAACGTTGCATAAGTTTTTTTGTAAATAACTTTTTAATAAACAATAAGCGACAGCTAAAACTTCTTAGAGATTACTCGGGAGAGTGTGCTTGACGACGTATGTCAAGGTCATCGAAAGTCTACCTCCTTTATACTAAATAATTATCTATATAGTTTACATATAAAATCGTTTCGTATAGAATATAATTAATTTTTTCTGAGAAGTTTTTTGTGTATCGTAAAAACGTGATATCTTGATATTTTACGATAATTATTTGAAAATTATTCATTGTCCAATCATTATTATATATTACCCTGTATACCCGTATAACAATAAATGTGTTGATTAATAAATTATTGCTATAATTAATTGTGAAACATCATGCTTAATCACGTCATAAATTTTTCTTATAATCGAAGTTGTTAATTTTTATAATTGTATATTTGTTTAATGGCAGTATATATCTTTTTTTCTCGATAAATTGACTATAAAAATACTTATATGTTACTTATTAGTCATAGTGATCATGAAAAATATCGACTTTGGCGTATTTCTTCCCGAAACACAAATAAGCGTTAAACGGAAAATGTCTCATAAAAAAGATCGAGAGTCGTAACAGGCTGTTGAAAAATGCACGGAAAAATACAGACCACCAGGCATCCGGTCGCATTAAGTATTTCAAGACAAAGCACTGCAGATTGAACAAGTACCAGCTGCGAAACGGCATACTCGACGTATCTGTGAAAACATATATAACACACATTTACGTGATGTATTTCACACTTTTTACGTGTATCGAACTTTGTACGCTTCAAGTGACAATTTATGCCAATTTTGGCATAAATTTATTTTAATGTTGCGAGCCACACGTGGCAACAATTTGGCAGTAAAATAATGAAATTGATGTTGCTCATTAATCGTACGATATAAAAATAAAGATATCAATAAAAATTCTATTATCTGTTATCATCAGTAAAGTTCAATACTTACTTCTTTCTTGATACAATTTAATTTGTTCCTTTTTATATGCAACATAATCTTGAAATAAGAAAAATTGTTGCTTATTGTATTCAACATGTTGCATTAAATTTAATCACCTATTTTGATTAACTGATTATTGTTGCGTGCAGTCGTAGACGCAAGATGAAATGTGAATGTAATAAATGCTATCGGTTCGATGTCATAGGAGACGGGCCACATGCTCTGCAGCATCGCGTTGCCCATCTGATCGAAGTGCTCGTTTCTGTTTGCCATAGAAGGCAGAAACACCTCTTCTAACAATCTCTGGCAAAGAGCACGAGTTTCTTCCACGGTTCCTGCGCAAAGATTGAATCTGGAATAGAAAATTAATCTTGCGATCAAAGTTAAAATCAAGAAAATTTCAAAAACATTGTTAAATATTTATTTCTCTTACTAATTCGAGAAAAAATAAACTAGATCTAATTTAAATCTAACGAGGTAAAAAAATCGAAAAATAGATCTAATTAGATCTAGATAGATATAAAATAGATCTAAATAAATATAAAGTAGATTTAAATAGATATAAGTAGAGATTTATATATAGAGGATCCTAAATAGGGTGAAATTTCGCCCGTCTTGGAGTTCTCAAATTTTGAACCAAATAGTATTCTAAATGATAGCTTATGATGAGACATTGATCGCAGAAAAATTTTAGATTGAGCCTACTTTTCATTTCGGAGATACGCGAGGTCAAAGTTACTAAGTTGAGTGAGAAAATAGTATCGGTATTGTAAGATACGTCACAAATAAATCAAAACTGTCCATTGAAACTTATTGATTTTGATGAGACAACTTTGCACACTTGTAAAATTATGACACATAATCAACATATATATGTTTTTTATGTCAGAAGTAGGGTGACAATCTCTCAGATGTGAAAGATTTTTACGTTTCAATTAGAATTCATATACATTCTTCGTGATTGAATAATCTTATCTTATAATGTTATCTTGTTAAATTTAAGTTAGATCTAATCCATTTTTTCCCGGAAAACAAAATTGTTCGATTTCATTATTTTACTATTTTTATTCAGTAAAAGAACAAGTAGGTACAAACCTGTCGTCCATCCCGAGCATGTATCCGATAACCCTCCACAGATGCACAACACCTTCCAGTTCGTCGTGAGTGACTTTCACTCCCAGATAGTCCCCGCTGATTATAGTATATCCGATGAATCCGAACTGCGCCAGTGCCATATCCAGTTGCGTCGGTTTGTGAACACCAGCCTCAGTGCTTCTTCTGAACGAAACGCAGTGTTTTTTCCGCACGATCTTCACTGACTCTAAGAATCTATTGTAACACGACATACAAATATTTTTTGTAACAATTGTTTACTTTATTTACAAAAGAATATTGTATTTATAAAAATATAAATACAATAATTTTTCATTAGTGTTATACATAATTTACGAAATATTTTGTCAAATTCATTGAGAGAAAAAACTCGGTATAAAGTACAAGGTAGCGTCTTGACAGTGACATTCATTCGGCGGATACTTTTATGTAACTTGACGTCGAGACGCTACCGCGTCTCTTGAAAATTCATTTATTATTGTATAAATTGTATATAGTTGTAACAGATAATTGATTTTACACTGTTTTTTCTGATAACGTACTCACTCGTTGGGTTTGCCCTTGGGGTTCTTTTCGTGCCATACTAATGTGTGAAGAATCGTCGACGCATATCTGCGATACGCCAAGCAAGGGATTCCGCTTCTTTTGGTAAATATGATCACATCCAGTATGGTTTTGATAGCCAAGAGGGACACGAGACCACAGAGCTTTGCAATCATCATGGAAAAGTAATTCTTCGAAAAGGCTTGCTGACCGATCCGAAATTTCTTCTCGTCGTAGAATGGCGGCAATTCCGGATTCTCCCATTCATAGCTTATTGGTGTCTCCGCGCCTTCTTTTATGATAATACGCAGGTGTTTCTCTACCGAATCTAAATAAAAATTCTTTTTCTTATTTTTGTTATTACAAAAAACAAGCGTAATTTTTTTGATCTCACTTCAGATCTATTCAGATCTGCTTAAATCTAATTAGATCTGAGCAGATCTAATAATAAATAAAAATGTAAATTTACATAGATCTACTTATATATATATATATATTTAGACCTACTTTACATCTACTTAGATTTAATTTGGATCTAATTTTTTATTTTTTATCTCGTTAGATTTAAATTAGATTTAATCTTTCTTTTCCCGGGGAATAAAATTTTATACACAATGGAAGATGCAAGTAAATAAATAATCTGAATTGAATAAATGCTATTGTTAATCTTTTAGCAACAAACATTTATATATGTTTGCAAGCATATATTTACATCTTGATAAGAGAAAGATAACGTTTTTGCACTTGAGAAAGAGCTGTTAACGCAATTTACAATCAAAGAAAATTATTTGACATTTAATTTTCCAACGACGTATAAAAAACAACGTATAAAATAAAATAAAATACATAATTAAACATTGATTAAATTATTAATAACTGATTAAATTATTAATAATGCGGTAACTTTTTATTATTGCAAAAACTGTTTATACTAGAAATGCAGTATTGGCATTGCTTATTGTTATCGCGTTATTCATCTAAAGAATTTAAATTAATTTTTAAAGTAGACAACATATATTACATTTTATTACAGTTTTATTTAATTAACATTTTATTTAACATGAAATAAAATATGTAAAACATATATAAATTATACTTATTATTCTCTAGTTTTTCTTTTTCTCTTTCTCTCATATACATAAATTTTTACATTCCAAATTTAAAATCTATAGATTTATTTCGTACATATTATATCGTATGTTAAACAGAAACTAACGTGCTGACCAGAAATACTATTCAATAAATTTGTATATAAAGCGCGATCCACCGATTTCACTCAGAATTGAATGATGTTCCAACACACACAACTTCACACAGCTCTTCTGTGCATGACACTGTAGATCTGTTCTTTTGAGCTAAACTTTTTGCATTTATCTTTCATCTTTTTTTCTTCAAAGTGAACAAAAAAAGAAAAAAGATAAAACTATGTAAGAAGTTCAACTACAAAAAATAGACTTATTGTTTATTTGTGTGTGTTTTCTTGCTGGAAAACAACCTATCTAAACAGAGCATTTTTTATTGCGCGTAAACTTACGCACGGAGGCGCGTTTTACCCGATAAGGATTCACATGATAAACTGAAATAATATAATTTAAAACATTAAGATATAAAATTCTAATGTCTTCTAAATTCGTACTGCTTTATATTATTGTCGCCAACTCTATATTTATACCTTAACTTTAATCAAGGTAAAGCTCCAAAAAGAAAATCACTCGCTGTGTGTGGCAGGAATTTCCAATTGTACGACGGAACGAGAAGAAACACCGGGCGAACACTTGTACGAGACACGCTTCGCATGTCAAAATGTCCAAACAAACGTTAACTTTTGTGCATCCACACGTGAATAGAATCCGAAGAAACTCGTGTCTCTAACAATTGGACATAATATATGTCCGCGTTTGTGTATGCTAAGACACGGATTGCTCGTGTCTCACGGCAATTGAAAATTGTGCAGAGAGCTTTCCTTCCGTTCGTGCCAAATAAATTTTACATTTATGTGGTCGCGATTAAATCTTACCTGTGTGTTTGTAAAATAAACGCGCTTTTAATATTTTTACATGTATATGAGAAATTGATTAACAACTTGCTATTAATTTTATTTTTGTTGTAATTTTTGCGAGATCCTTTTTGGAGGTATTTACTTGCCTTGCACAAATGTTTGATAAAACTACACTCGCTCGCTGTATATTATTTGTTCCACTCACCAAATAACTACAATCAAAGGATTTAATAATAATCGATCCTTATGAAATACTTCACGTCAACAAATTAATAAATAATATGAATTACACACAGCAAATATGTATAATTTCTTGATCTTACAAAATTTACACACGACGATTTATGCGCGACCTTGAAGAAACTAAGTAAGAAACTAAAATGACGACATTACATTTCACAAGTTTTGTGGTATGCCGATGTGTATTTAATATATTGACACATTTAGATAGAAAATGTAGAATAAGTGACATTTCTCACTTTTGATATTTTTATTTTGCGCAATATAAAGAATTATGTAAACAAAGTAGTTTAAATGAAACGCTTGTTAATTTGTAGTAGGGTAAAGAGCATAAAATGTCCATTATGAGATACTTTTTTTTTTTAAGTATTATAATTTATTAAATATGCAACCTTAGTTTTATGTCACACTTATGAAAAATATATTCAAGTTTTATCCCCAAAAGTTAGCAATCGATAATTGCTATACTTTGTTTTGTGTGAATTTTTTAAATCAAAAGTACCGAGTTTGCTGATTAAAAAAAGGGCTCCTAATATGAGACACAAGAGATCTTTCTTATAGGAATCTTAGCAACAACAGAACTATTGTCATTTTTAACATATTGCTCAATAGTATGCACTGGGACACTGAATTGTTTAGATGCTTTTGAATATCTCATTTCTTTGCTTCTTAGCCTTTAATTAACTGTTAGACCACGATTACTTCTTTGCCTCCATCTGAAAATATGGATTACTAAAAACGTACTAATATACATCAAGTAAAGAACTTGACAGATTTTTAATATAAAGTACCTCATATATTAAGAGCGGCTGCGTGTCTCATATTAGGGAATAAAAAATTGTAGAAAGTTTAAGTTTATACCGCGACAAAATATGCAATAAATTGACAAAACTACATGAACTACATAAATCACTTATAGTATATGTGTACATTTGAGCGAATTGAAATGACAGTGAAGCCTATGACATAAAAGTGTTAAATACATATTTTAGAGTTATAATGATTACCTAGTTTTCTTCTCTGCGCATACGCGATAACTCCTTCACATACACAACGTCGCCTTTGCTAGAGAATGAAACTACTAAAAAGTTTGATGTTTTTGTGTAAGTGACGTGTTAAAAATACGCAGTTATATTTGTAGCCGTTTACATGAAATAACTCGCTTGTATTAGACGATACGACCTTTGGTCTCCAAATTTCGCTGACAGTTGGCGACAAAATCGCGACATCCCTCAACCAAATTGGTTGCTAGATTCTTTGTATTGTTCTTTATTTTAAAAATATATTTATCAATGTTTATTATCAATGCTGTCTCTTGTCTCAGATAAAAAATAAAAATCTCTCTTTAAGATAAACAAGATAAAGACGCTCCTTAAATTCCTTTAACAAAGAATTGATAAACATTTCTGAAAATAGTTTTCAAGTTTGAACCGCGTTGGTATCAGTTTTACACCAATGTTTTGTGGACATTACTGTGGACATTACTTATTGTATCATTGCGTGTCTGATGATCAGGCTGCTCTTGAAACTCTAAAAACACTGACGCAATTTAAATCCGAAAACTATCTTTAGGAATTCTTCTCCTTCATTTAACACACGAAAGCATCAAATATCAGATTCAATAAATATTTTTTAATAATAAATATTAATTCTAAGAACTATATTTGTATTTACATTGACATATTACTGAACTTAACTATATGTACCAAGTTTGCAAATTTTTGCGGAGTTCACATTATTTTTATTAAATAATCTCTCAAATATGAAACATTATTTCTTTCACAATTGAGTACCAACCTTCCATGATGTCACTGGATACAGTATTGATCATCTTGACTATTTCAATTTGACAGGAAAATTTATAAACAAATAACACTACACTGATTAAGTAAATCGATTAAAATTAAAACGCGGCTTTTTCATAAACGAAGCGTGTTCTGTCGAGATCTCAGTCGTACTAATCGCTGCAAGAATAGGTAAGTTTTCAGTTCATGTATCTCTTCCAGTGAAAGGTGTGCAGTCCCCCTCTTTTTTCCTGTTCTCAAGATTACGGGGGACGCAGCAAATCCTTGGCATTTTCAAGAGTAACCCGTCGAAATATGCAAACATGATTCTGAAGAGGAGAATTTACAGTAAATTTAATTTCATCGTGAAGACTTCCATTGTTGTATCCGCTTCTAACACCGCTGTTTTTTGACATTTTTAAAAATTATATAATTTATAATTTTAAAATAAATAAAATAGATTCAAAATAATTTTAAAATAAATAAAATAAAACGCGTTATATAATTTCCGTTTGAGAAAATGAAAGTATACAGCTTGATCCACTGAAGTTTCGACGTTTCGATCGTCGGCTCGTTTATTAGCACACTCACGCTATATTGTTCGCACAACGACGATTATTTGTTTTTTCTTACATAACAAGTTCAAATCTATTTTGAAATGCGCGAGACAAAAGCGGTGCGTGATGCCACGTCGCTTTCACATCAAGAAACGGAAGATAAAGCGACTTTGCGCGATCGATTTTCTAATCAATGTCGTCACGTGGATATACACCAAAAGCATGTTGTCAATTTCGTGTGGCACTTCCGACGCCTTTCCTAAGAGAAAATCACAATCAAATCTGCTGATAATGTCTTCGCGCGAATCGTCGCGTTCATTTGAAAAGCGCGTGTCATTGTTGCAAATTGATCGGTGGCAGGTACACCACTGGAACTAACTTCGTGGGAAACGTCTCGCGGTGCAGCCATCGTTCGCTTTCTTCGCTAAAAACAGGGAAGGAAAGTTTTCTCGCTCTACTCTTCATACAAACTGGCTTCGTCACGATAGACGTAACACATAGTGAAAGTATCGTGTTTTCGCTCGACCGCCATTTGTCTATTTCATGATTTCTGAAAAAAATAAAAATGTTTATTACTCTATTTGATCTTGAAATGAAAATAACCAATGAGAAAACTCAAAGCTAAGAAAATAGATTTTAAGTGAAGAAACAAGAACAACAAAGAAGAAATGACAAACTTATCGTACACTCATTTTTATCGAAAAAATTGCTCTTTTGGATTTTCCGCAAGCAGATATTTATAATTCAGCAGATATTAAGTTCGATTGAACAATCGGACATTTAAATTAGACATAGATCGATAATATGAGACACAGCAACAGAATGGTAATAGGCCGACTTTGGAAAAACCATGTATTTTTTGTAGAATAATAATACATTACACAATATGCTTGTGGTAATAATTGGTATAATAAACGGTAATATACCTGACAATATTTTAATAAGAATCTAAAATAACACAAATACTGAATACATGTTAACAATTAATGAAAGGAAATAATGAGAGCAGCATGTCGGAGAAAATCTTCCGACGATGTGAGAGGAACGCGGGCCGTTATCCGAATTTTAGTTTTTAATTAAAAGAGAAATGCCGCGAGAAATGCTACATTAATACGGACAAAATTCAAGCCAGCATCAGCATTTGAAATGAGGAGAAGGGAAAGAGGTTCGGATTACTTTTCTTAAAGATGTATTTCTTAAAAGAACCACTTAAAATCATGCGCTTGCTTCAGTATATCGTTATTGAAGATTCGCACACATTGCAAGATACATAAATTTTAATTCTCGCCTAAATAAACTTACAAATTAAATGTCCGCTAACACACTAAGCGCCGTATTCGCGTTGTTGAAAGAAACGTTAAAGAGAAATAAAATATAACAAAAAGAAAACACGATACATATATATAATATATGAAGGTATATATTTTTTTACTCGCAGATAAATATAAGATAAATCATATTTTTCAGAATTAACAGAAAACATAAACAGAAAACGTCCTTCGCAAATATATAAATATCGCGTACGTATTAATAATCTCATTGTAATCGCGTTTAAAATATATCTTTCTTTTATCAAAAACATCAAAGAACGAAGATTCGCTTTTACGCACATGGAAAAAAAAAAGATAAATTTTAATATCACTGAGTAATTTTTATCGCTTATTGAGTAATTTTAACGAGGTTTACTGAGCGTTTCAGTAATTCTCGGAATTGCATATCAACGCAGTTGTGTCAATTACTTAGTTTTTTTTTAGTATTATAGTTTCTTTCCGATGAACTTCGGACACGTTCGTTTTTTTTCTATTCAGTATGTCAAATGTCTTTCTTCTCGCATTCATAAGTAAAAATTGTGCTGAATTAATAATCGATTATACAAATAAGACGTCGCGTAATATACAAACATGATCTGTTCGTTTTATTGATGAGATTTCAAACAGATCATTAATAATCGTTGCTCTCTTTAGAGAGGAAAGCGCTTAGTGATCAGTGCACTTAAATACAATTAATATCTCATTGTATAGAAGATAGGGAGAAGAACTTAGGTCGCAAAAATGACGCTAATAATAATAATAATAATAATAATAACAATAATAATAACAATAATAATAAATATATTATTCTATTATATAAATTATTATTATTATTATTATTATTATTATTATTATTATAGTAGGTACACAGCCTTATTCCTATATAAATCATTTCTAATGTTGCTAATTGTGTGATGAAAACGAGATTTTCTTATTTTTCAAAAAAAAAAAAAAAGAAAAAAAAATGAAACAGAGGTATTTTTCACATCACATTTTCCATATGCAGCATGTTTGATCCGTTTTCAACGATTGCACACAGCGTCTCTCTTCGCGCATTCCTTGGTCCTTTCCGTGAGTCATATCATATTTGTACATAACTCGCGCGAACTGAGATCTCGAAAACGAAAAAAAAAACATTGTTATTGACGAAGCACCCTCGAACGCATATTGAACAAACGTTGGTGTTAATGTCTGACAATAAAATTTACAAAGAGGCGATTCTCTTTTTCTCTCTCTCTCTCTCTCTCTCTTTCTGTTTTTCTCTCTATATCAGTTCTCAAAAAAAACTTGGCTCTCGCAAATATGTACTTAGCAAGTAATGGAGAAGCGCATGCGACATAATAAAAGTGCGGTTCACAAATTTAAATAGTTGCAAAGAGTCTCCTCCGTAGATCCGAATCGCATCTCTTAAAACTATCGATATAATCCGGATTTATCGAAAAACACCGGCATAAACTCGGTCAAAGCGGATTATTATTTTAAAAACATTGTTTTTTTGTAGACATTTACGTACTTACATTTAAACTTCTAGATATATATTATATACAGGGTGTCCAGTATAATTACCGTAACACCGTTCGTAGGCAAGTACAAGTTATTCTGAGTCGAAAAGTCCTATACCACTTTGCAAGATTTGCAATAATTAACGAGATAATTAAAAATCCGCGAATGTGAGCGTGCAGCCACGTGCATAATGACAGCTCAGTGTTTCGCGCTCATGCCGTAGCAACGGAATAAGAGAAGCTAATAAATAACATGTGATATATATACATAAACTATACATAAAAAGTAATAATTACCGACAACTAAACGCGAAAGCATGCACCTTATTTCTTTTAAAATAAATAAGTTTAATGTCAAAATGTGTCGAAAATGAGTTCTTTTTCTAAATTTATGTAGTTACTCTTATTTACGAAAAGATAGTTGTCGGTAGTTATTGATTTTTATGTATAGTTTATGTATATCACATGTTATTTATTAGCTTCTATTCCGTTGCTACAGAGTGAGAGCGCGAAACACTGAGCTGTCATTGTGTTGTCATGCACGTGGCTGCACGCTCATTCGCGGATCCTTATTAATTGATATCTCGTTAATTATTGCGGATCTTGCAAAATGGTATAGGACTTTTCGACTCAGAATAACCCTTTCTACCTGCCTTCAAGCGGTGTTACGGCAATTATACTGAACATCCTGTATATATGTATATATATATATATATATATATGTATGTATATAACACTCAAAAACATATCTTTTGTCCTTATTTTTCTGTGCTTGTTATCAAGTATAAGAGCTAGATTTAAAAAGAATATAAGAACTCAATATATATAATTCCTTTAAAAAATTAGACCAGGAAGCGAAAAGATGTTTCGCGCTTCTTATAATGTTTCAATGATAATTTTATTGGAAAAATTAAAAAGAGATGCAAAATAAAAGATGTAACTTTGCAGAGGAAATGTTTGCAAAGTTATAACTCAAAAGTCGAAGAAATCGTAGAGCGTTAAATTATATTTCATTTTTGTTATTGTGTGCACAGTAATGATTTCGTCGTCACTGAATAATTAATTATGTTACAACGCACTTTTTGTTATTTATAAAAAATAACAACTTCCGAGAATAAAAATCTCGCAATTCCTAAGCAGTCCCGCTCTTATCCAAAAGCTCACATTATGAAGTATAAAAATATATTTTTTTTCAACGAAGTTGATCTTTTTTTTATTAATCGATCGATCTATTAAGACAGCCAATCATTTATTTATTTATTATTATTATTATTATTAGTCATTATTGTTATTATTATTATTATTATTATATATATCATTATTATTATTATTATTATTATATTATGCGCACGATCCGTGGCACTATTTGAACGTTTAAAAAATCGACTCTTTCCAACTATTTCAATTTAAAAATGGCAGCTTTATCCGCCATTCTCATTGGTGTGGCGGACAATTTAGTAGAATATAATATTTTATATATACGACAGCGTCTGTGTTGTCATCTATGTCGAAGGCCGAACATTAGCTTTTATGCTTTAGTAGAAGACCGTTCGTCAATGTTACAAGTATATCAATAGCTACTCGATGCATTAATATTAATACATCAAAGTGTGCTAGAATCTATTGGTTTTTTTACGTCAAAGATTCATATAAGAAAATAATACGCCCAACCTAATCGCGACCAATCGATAGTTTTGATGAGCGACTACGTAAGCGATAAGTAATCGAACTAGTCTCGATCAGGTGCGGTGCGCACTTGTTTTTTTCTTTTAGGCTGATAAAAACTGGCAGAGTATCATCCAACCAATAAAACGCGTGTCCTCAGACATCATTACCATTTGATGGTGTCTATATAGCAGCTCTCATGTATCTTTTCGACAACGTGAAATGTAAAAAATTTGTATAATAACGGATTCTGTTCTTAACATTCCGAAGTTTTGTAATTAATTTTGAATACTTCTTTTCCAACGTGTATCAAGCATTGTTGCTCGAACAATCGAAACAAAACCGATCGAGTTCTTTAAAAGATCTCGATTTGCAACTGAGAAATTACAGGGAAACGATCTTTTTTCTGTCTATAAACAATATCAGCGAGTCGCCTAAAACACTTCAATTCTAATTCTAAATTCCTTCCAATCAAGTAATTTGATAAAATATCGAGTTGCATATAAAAGAATAAAAGGAGACAGCGTGTTTAGTTAAATTAAAAACGCTGTTTCCTGTAAAATAATATATATATATATATATAAAACGATATATATGTAAATATATAAATATATGAAAATTTCGAGTGTCAGATGCAGAAACACCCGGAAATAGAAAAGTCCAATTCGCACGTGTGCTTTCATATATTAAAATATATGAAACGGATAGATATAAAGTTAATTCCTTCTCTCTCTCTCTCTCTCTCTCTCTCGATTCTCATTTTACATTTTGTTTTGTTAAACTTTTTCTTATTGTTGGAAAACAAAAAAATACAACAAAGCTAACGTACGAGACGAATCGTAAAATCAGCGTTCTTCACCTTTTGAAACTCTTGGAATGTGTGAGAAATAATGTAAAAAGAGCACCTACGAAATAAAATACGGATCCTCATATCCGGGTGTTTCTTTCGTACATAACTTTTAATATCTTTAATAATAAGATGAAAGAAATCGACTCGCTGATTGCGCACTTCGAAAAAGAAATTTTTCTTCGATTTTATCTTGTTGGAAAGATAAGTACGAGATAATTAGCTATTATTATTGTACACTCTATGATAAAAATGACTTCTGATTCAACTTATGACACGATAATCGCGCCCGATATAATTAACTCCGGCTTAAAAATCTATTCCTTAACTGGGAGACTGTCGACAACACCGCTATTACTTAAACGGAGCTACGTGCGTCTTTGTTCTGATTTGGTGCTTATTAATTAGTAGTCAAATCCTAGATAAATCTCAATTCTCGTACGTTCAGCGTAGGGACAAAGAGTCCCGGAATCTCTCTCTCTTGTACACTTATAGGTATTTTAATATCACTGTTTTGTTTTCTATCCGTCCGTTTTCATGTCCGCCACGAGCGTCTGAGAGATCAAAAACAGAGCGATTGTTAGACAAACGAATTAACGAATATGCGAGACTCGCGATCACATTCGAGTAACCGCATTCGCTGTCGTAGTGGGTACAAAAATAAAAAATTGGTTCTTTTGTTCACACAAAATAGATATATTCATACTTTATAAATATATTTTAATAAATAAAAACTATCAATTCCATTGTGTTAGCCTCAAATTTCAGAAAATATAATAAAGAATTCTTAAAAACAGTTTTAGAAAGATAGTCCATAGTTGTATGGTCATTGTGTAAAAAGGAACAAATCCGACTGTGCATCAATTCAAATTGCACCCACTTCAGACCGCGAATGAGATTCCAGACATTTCCATAGTCGATGGTAGCTGGTAAACAAATCCATTGATCTTACAGTAATACTCTCACGTTCGTGATACCATTACTACGTAACGTTTACAACCTTCGCAGCCTGCTGATTAAACCATCTTATCTAGCTTCGATTTCATCCTAATTTCTCAAAAAGAATAAAATGTCTTTTTTTTAATAATTAAAAAAAAAAAACAAAGCCTCGAAGTGCGTTGAGCGATTGACATTGTCATCGAAAATTCAAATATCGACTATCGAATTGTCTTCGGACAATGTTTTCAAGTATCGAAGGATCCGACGGTGATAGTTTGTCGCAATCCCCCGGGAGTCACGTGACGTCACAACGCGAAAGATGTTCGCGCGACGATATCTGACCATCGAAGCTTTCCCGAAGACTCGGAAGACGCATGGATCTGTTTCGGGAGGACTCGAAAGGTTTTTGTGGAAGAGTGAGTATGTATGTGTTCCTCTGATAGTCAAAGATGTGCGTGTCTCTCGCGCGCGAGGTCTTCCACACCGTTTCTTCTCATAACTCCTCTATTGAATAAACGTCCTATCTATTTACAACGGAGCCCTCGGACGCGCGATGGCACAGCTGCGTGTATCAGCTGCGAATCGGGCTATCACGAGAGCACGGGACCGACTTCGGTCGTGTCCTTGCAGTCTTGAATGGATAATTGAGCGATCTCGCTCACCACGTTCTCTTGAGCCTCTTTCTTCAGTATTATGTATCCAGGCTGTTGCTCCTCGGTCTCGCACGTCGCCTTGCCATTGGCGACCGCCTTCGCCTGGCCGTTCGTCTTCCTCTTGCTGGACGTCTCCTCGCCGGATCCGCCCGGACCAATTTTGAACACGTTCTTGATGATGTTGTTCATCATAGTTGGCTGCGGACGCTTCGGGATCTCCGACGCAAGAGAGTTGTGACCCTTGTCACTCTTACCACCCGATCCTCGTCGCGTTCGTCCGTTGCCCTTGCCAAATCTATTGGGATTTTTCGGACCGGGTTGTTGTTGACTCTGTTGCGTGGCTGACGCTTCCGTCTCTTTCGTTTCCTGCAAAAGTTTTTCTATTTTCACAGATTTTTCCTCATACACTGGAGAGTTATCAACAGTACGCGCAGCTTCCGAAGTGTCGGTATCTTCCTTCCTTGTTAATGTGTTTTCTTTTTTAAGATCTTCGTCTAAATCTGTCACCGGGACATTTTTTGGCTCCTCTTCCTTTGTCGGAGCTTTGGTGTTCTCCGTATGATTAGTTGTGTCTTGCCGCTCTGTCAGAATCTCTCTCTGAAGTACCTTTACGGGACTTTTTGATTTCGCCGTAGACTGATCTTCCTTTGTTTGACAATTTGTGCAGGAAGAATTATGCGTCGGCGAGTTTGCTTGTCTTCTTGTCGCATTGTTCTTTTGTGCCACTCCCATGTGCGGTCTGCCTGATCTAAGCGCGTTGTTCTGAATATTCGGTTGCACGTTAAATGGTCCGGATTGTTCGTATGGCGATTGCGTGTGATTCAGATGCATCTGATGCGGCGGCGGTGGCGGTGGCGGTTGCTGTTGCTGTTGCAATCTGCGAACGTCAACGTGCATCGCGTTGTCCATACGCGGCGGCGGCGGCGGTTGCTGCTGTTGCTGCTGATAAGGAATATACGGCTGATAGGATTTCATTGTGTTTGATGGATTCATTGGCGGAGCGGGCGAGGTGTTTGTTGGCCCGTAAGGGTTGGGACGCATGTTTACATGCGGCAACTGCGGCCACGTCATACGGGACTGCTGCTGCGCCGTAATGATCTTCTGCATGAGAATATTAGCCTCTCTGCTTATATCGCGTACATTGTAGCCCATCTGAGGAACGGTGCCGTATGTCTGCTGCGACATAATAGGACCGGGCGCGAAGATCGGCTCGTTCTTAGGAACTATCGGGTTTTGAGGCTGATGGTAGTTTTCGTAGTGCATGTTATCGCCGCTCATGGTTCTGCCGTAAGGGATGTTCGAATGATACTGCATCGGCGGCACGAATTCCGGCAGCGACGGCTGCGGTGGCGGTTGCTGCTGTTGCACTTGCGCCTGCTGCTCCATATATTGAGGATATTGCGCCATCGCGGGTATGGCAGGTTGAGCGTCTATCCAGGTCTCCTGCTGAGGACGTTGTTCGTTCTCGCGTATGGCCAGCACGGCATTCCACACTTCTTTTAGTTCACCCGTGATATCGCGGTCCTTCAGTATCGTGTAGCGACGAGCAAAAACTACTCCCACATTCATCGCTTCTATGAAGTCTAATAGTAACTCGATAAAGTTCATACGCTTCTGTTGAAAAGATATACATGCGGTGAGTATCTCAACAAAATACTTTATCTTAATTTATAAAGATTTACTGCAACAATATTGTGACGATATAAAATTCCGTAGAGAAAGAAAATAAAATATTTGTCTTTTAATTGGTCAGTTTACCTTTGGGTCTTGAGCATTTTTGCCATTTATTCGTAAAACTTCCGGATTTGCCATTACAGCAAATACAATGGCTTCTGTCTTTGTGCGAGGCGGTGGCATTCTCATGCCTCCGTAGAGTGGCACAGGCAGTGAAGGTCTACGAGGCATTGCTATTTTCTCCCATGATAGTACATTTACGTAACAGGGAGCAGTGATGCCCTTTATTAAAGAAATTAACATTTATATAATAAAAATATCTTACTAAACTAATTTTATTTATAAAATACTCTATTTTTTTAATATGTTACCTGTATGCAATCCTGTATACACATATGTGGCTGTGGTGGATTTTTAAATATGCGTGCACCATTGCGCTTTATCCTGGGAGAAGGCGCATTGATTTCTACTGGATCCATCTTCTCAGCTGAAAAGTAATGAACACTGTGCTAAAAAACATTTATGTAACCTTTTGTAACATCAAAACAGTTTCCATCTCATAAATATTTGTTTTCAATATCAATTACACTTGTGAACACAACAATTGACTTTATTTTCTGACATTATTTAGTCTCACAAATACTATCTACACAAACTGTGACTTCGAAGTGACCACAGAGAAATGAACGAAAAATCCGAAAGTCCGAAATTATATTTACATAGCGCGATCTGCGACTAGTAGTTCAATTTTTGCTGCAGATTGCAATTATTGAAAAATTTTTGTTCTTCGTAGTTTCTACGTCTTTGTTGTAACAGAATGTTATATAGGATGTTTGAGGAGAACACGAGTTTTACATCGGAATAAAAACACTGTGCCACCAATATGGCGAAGCGAACGGCCGGAGGACTGCACATTTATGACAGATGCGCTCGCGAGTACCGCGCGGTGCCTCTGCAACACTGTGCGTTGGTCCGAGCGAGCCGATAAATCATTATGTAACGCAACGACGAGAAAGAGCGGTTTTGTGAGCGGATTCCAAGCAAACGAGGTCGTGCGGCCGCGGCCAAGGCTGTGATCCGTCAACATAACCCCAAAGCCCGCAGGACACAGGTGCTCATACGTTCATCCGCGGCCGCTTCCACAGCGACCGCAATTCGTGTAATTTTCTCGCGCTACACGGACAATTCATCTCGTAACGACTCACCCCCGTGGTGGTGTTTTTCGCCCGTAAAAACACTCAAACAACCACGGATTCAACACGGCGCAATCAAACAGATTCACGAAAGAAGATTCATCGTTTCTTTTGTTTATTATTGTTCCTGAGACTGCGCAAGGATCATGGCGTTCTTTTCCCACTTTCTTCTTCACGCTGCCAACACTTTCTGACTGCGTTCCGTTTCACGCATATGCGCGCATTTATTTTCTATAGTACACGTCACGTATAGTATAGATCAGAAAGAAACCCATAGACATTGGGTGCGTTCAGACAACTCAACGGTTGAAAGATCATCACTTATGGTAGGACTATTCTTCAAAATCTGCTGCGGTTCCAAAAGTATAATCCAATCAGAAGTGATTATCTCTCAACCGTTGTACAACTGTTGAGTTGTCTGAACGCACCCATTAGGTCTGTTTTTCTTGCATACACTTTGTACACTTTAGCGTTCTTCTTGCCGGAAGTGACGTTGATCACGTCATTGGGTGCGTTCAGACAACTCAACAGTTGCACAACGGTTGAGAGATAATCACTTCTGATTGGATCATACTTTTGGAACCGCACAAGATTTTGAAGAATAGTCCTATCATAAGTAATGATCTCTCAACCGTTGAGTTGTCTGAACGCACCCATTACACTTTTTTTACACTTCCTTGAGAGGTAGTGTAAATCTAGTGTAACGTTAAGCCCATTCTACATTGATCGCAAGCGCAAACGCAAGGTATAGATTTCGTAGAATTGACCAATCACGCTGGTCAATTGGCTGATTTGATCAATATCGATTAGTCAATTCTACCAGACCTGTTCCTTGCGTTTGCGCTTGCGATCAATGGAGAACAGGCTTCACACTTTTTCTTTGTTCATGTTTTGACAGAGAGAAGCCTGAGAGGACCGGCGCAATGGTCTCGAGTCAGCCTGAGTGCAGGGGAATAATAATCAATTAATACAAACCCCAGATATCTGGGATCTACTTGACTTATCAACTTTAAAGACTCCTAGAACGGCGTATGGACTAACCTGAAAAAGGTCCACTGAGCCAATATGCACCAATACCAATACCAAAGTATGTATGAAGGTGGTGGATAGATACAATTTTTGTTGTGCTAACGTCACATGTCCGCAATTCGCGTCATGTCCTTGCGACGCCAGTGCGACGCCGCCGATTTTTTTCCATGCGGCTCGCCATTTGCGTGAATTGCGCGCCTGTCGCCGGTCGCGCTCGTCACAGTTGCGGTAACATTCACGCCGTTCGAGTAGACATACGCGAGGTTGAATCCGGGATCCTGGTTCTCTTTTCGGATTCTCGATCGCAACTCTAGGAAAAGCCCACGTGGCTGACAGTGAGTGCTGTGCAATAAGTACGACGTATGTATATACGCGCAATGACGATCGACATTCGTCTGCTCTTGCAACAGTAGTGGACACAATATTCTCGTGAATAGGGTTACTATCTGTACACAGAGTGCAGCTGCGATCGTGCCTTTAAATAGTGTTTTTGTTTTGGAGATTTATCGCAATTCACACATCGGAAAAGTGAGAGCGTACTTATATGATCGTGTCTTCTGCAATGATCTTGAGGTGAGTGTCCGCGATCTTTTCGATCCTCGGAGCATCTACATAAGAAGTTTTGTCTTGCGAAAGACAGAAAAAAGAGGTTTCATCAGTAGTGCAAGAAAAATCGCCGCCAATCAAAACAGATTGTTTGAGCTAATCGATTTCGCAGATAACGAACTTTCAGCGTGCGTATCTTTAATTGTTTATCCTTTGAGAACGATAATGCGAATAAAAAAATTAATCCAATCTGTCTTATTGCGAGATATCACAAGATATTACAGACCGCATTAAATAAACATGCATGACTAACAATTGCCAAAGTAACATCCATCACTTTTTCTCAAAACAGTTCGAACGCCCAGCGAAATGCGGTGAAAGTTAGGTTTCTTTTTTTTTGCGCAACGTAATGTTGACTCGTCGCTATGCTTACGAAGCAATAATCGCAAGTGTTTTACATATTCGCAGCTCGTCAGGCCCACCAGTAAATAATTTGCGTATGTAATCTATTTGCGTTATGTAACGCGCGTTCGCTATATTTTCGTGATCGACCGGTCAAGTATGTTCGTAAATGCAAAAAGCAAGATGTCAAAAGATTCACTTTCACTCGCCGTTTGTTTAAAGAACTATACATTTGATATTTTATAATTAATAGATACCTACTTAATACAGCATCACTTTGCGTTCGAATGAATAAGAAATAAATTATTGAGCAAATGAAATTAAATAGAAAGATAAAATTCTATTGAGAGAGAGATACGAGATAAGATTAGAAAGATCGTGCGATGCAATGTGCTAGGTGTTCGTGCGAAATATGTATTTTTTAAACAAAATATATTTTTATATTTTAAACGTGTGAATTAATATAACACATGATTTGAATTGAATTCTATTGGAAAATTTAATTGAAAATAAATAAAAATATTTTGTATAAACACTTAACACATTGGCTCACACAACCGAATTAATCTACGTTAGTTTGATATTAATATGAGCTGAAAATTGTTACATTTGTTAAAAAGTTTTTGTTGTAATGCGCACCAATTGATATCATATTCTTTTCTCTTGCTGGAGAATACGAATTTGGGATGGTTGTTTCACGGACACTCGTATCGCAACAAATTCTTTTACATAAAATTATTTACGAGTGGCCGGTATCGGGTCATTTATTAACGTAAAATCGCTGCTGTTGCACTTGACGCCGTCAAGTAAATGATGCATAATGCAGCAATATCCTTGAAATAGAACGCGCGAATCGATCGTTTTATTTCTATAAAGGCCGCTAGTTTTCCTCCGAGCCTTTCACTTCGATTTCGATCGCGATCTCGTCCAGTCATCCGAAATCGACAGGATTCCACCGTCTCGGCGATTCTAAATTAGAACCGAAGTGAAATTGATACTCTCATTACACAGCATATGAAAGCGCCGTATGTATGGAGGAAGAACGCGTTCATAAGCTCGTAATCTTTTTTTTTTATCGATTTTTATTCATGAAAATTGTATGCGATCGTAAAAAATCTCTTTTGCGCTTCAAAAATTTTCTTCGTTCAAAGGTTCTCTTATATCACTTGAGAAAGCGACACGCTCAAAGAGATGTGTGTTCGCGGTTTTTGCGGTTTCTTTGAATCTCTCGTCTCAGAATCTCGTGCGATTTATTCTTCAAAGAATACGCGTCGCTGTAAAATTACAATCTGTATCTAGTTTTCGCGTACAAAGACGGAATAGTTAGATTAACAAACCGCACAACGACGACGCGCTTAATGCACTCAATAAATGCGCGAATTGTCGATGTTGGGCGCCGTTGTCTACGCGAAATAAATGCACATCAACGTCATACATGCGTTTTTTCATTTCTCTGAAAGGTTCGATTTTGTGATAAATTATTATGCTGCAATTTTAAAGATAATTGAATCAAGGAGATTGAATTACTCACGCACACAAACTAACTTAGGCTCAGAGAGCAATTGATATGTCTCTGATCCCGCCTCCTTTTTACTGTATCTTTCCTATCTTATGATTTATTCGTTTTACTTTAGAAAGTTGTCTAAAAGAACTGTGCTTGTTGTGCAGAGATAACAGTATCAATGGTTGACAAACGAGATGTGTCGTGCGCATTTGTTTCCTTTTGTATGGCAGATAAAAAATTTTCGTGTTTAAGATAATATCATTTTACTTACGATGTATTGCAGAACCATTTACTTACGATGAAATCATGTTTCTAAAATGTACAGTAATAAACAAAAATTCCTGAGTCATTTAACTCTTAGAGGATTAGTATTTTTTTCTTGAAATATTATTTTTTATATATATTTGATATCCAGAACTTGTATGTACATACACATGTATATACAGCGTGGGATACACCCTCGTAATTTTCAGTCCAACTAGTAGGCTTTTGGAAGTGAGTCTACGAAGGATTAATATTTAAACGCATGCAAATCGAAAAAACGTTGCTGGCAATTCCTTTTTGAAATTTCTCTCTAATTCTAGCCTTCTTCATCTAGATGAATAGGTAAATGATTGATTGTTTGAAAAGTTTGTAGCTTTCTAAAAAATGGCATTACCAATCTAATAGATAGCAACATATCCTAATCATTGTGCAGATATCAAAAACATTGAATAGCACAGTGTATATAGTTTATTAAAATTTCATTAAAAAAACGCTACGTATTTTCCAAACAGAGCTCAATGGATGGATGAATGAATAAATAGAGATAGATAAATAAAGCATTAGTCTAGCGTAATACATAAATATTATGAGTTAAAAATGATCTAAGTCTCCGTGTTAATGAGAAGTTATAATATGTGAGCAATAATTTGTGTTTAATCACGATGATATAATAGATAAGACAATTTATTTATTAATGAACAGTTTTGTAACATACAAGTAATTTGTTATACTCCGAACATTGCCGATGTGAACTTTTCTTTCACAGGCGATCGTCTCGGTCATAAGATGAACTGTACAGACAGAATGGCTCATTATGGCAGCGAACAGTCCTTACACTCCTTACAGCCGGTGCACTCGGGTCATTCAACTCGTACTGCCGCCTCGACGTCTCCTACGGTATCGATGATGACAACGTGTGCTGTCAGCCTGATCAAGGTCACTGCCACTACCAGTTCTGCTCACGTGCCAAGTGCCGGATCAGCTGATACTCCCAGTAAGCTAAATTACCAGTCTTAATATCTCCTGCATTAATTAGCAGTTTAAACGTGATAATATTATTTATATACTTTTTATGTACTTGTTTATTCTTTATTTATAGATATTCTTCTTATATATTTAGTTTCCACTGTCATTTTCAATCAACTCATTTTTTCTGTAGATGTTTTTTTTTTTATCGAAAGCGCAGGATGAGACTTTCTATAGTCAGGTTTTCATAATATTAATTCAAACAACGCGATTGTGCTTCTTAGCGGTTAACAGACAAATTAATTAAATTCCGTGCTATATTTCTTTTTGAATTATAAATGTCACAAAGTATACACACAGAAATAGTTGGAGAACAAAAATTAAAAACTCGAAGGCGAATACAATTCCATGGTGTTTTATCGCGATTTCATGCATATTTATCAAGATAAAACTTCTTGCAAGTTAAAAAAATTAACTCTTGATTAAATATTTCTTGAGTTTCTGATAAGAGAATCACGAGTTCTCGAAACGAGCTTTTCTTTTCATAACATCCGTCTTTGATCCGACTACGCGTTTTGTGCTTATCTTTCCCACGCCGCTTTAATTATTAAATAGCAATATACCATTGAGTATAGCTGCCACCTCGCCGCCGTCGCCACTGGTAGACTCCCGTATACCGAGGCCATCGCCGTCGGCTCTGCGTCGTGCCACCAGTCTGCGTCTGCGCGGTGAACGGCCTTCGCCGCCGCACTATCCGCGTACAGCTGCGAGTAGCGCGGCCCTGGTCAGCGGCCACCAGCACCATTACCGCCGTCACAACCACCTCCTGCAATCGTCGCAACAGTATCAACATCCTGATTATCGCACTTTTCCGATCATCACGGAGAATGGAACCGACTCGCCGCGACAACGATCCCTCGTGAGTAATTATCTATCGTTTGCTCGTCGTCGCGTTCTCTTCCAAAAATCTCGACTATCCTGAAGCGCAGAAAGTTGTTAACTTCGCATTTAATTTTTTTTTCTTTTACGCTCTGTATTATTTACATGCTCATCAACTGATGATGTAAGTTTTGCAAGCACTATCTTTTCTCGGCAACTGACTCTTCGCGTTACGTCGGAAGTTCTCGGAGATTCTTAGGCCGTACATTTCAAGTATCAATAATGTTTGCTCGAACACAAAAAATCGACGATGTATTTTATTTATTTAGTTGCAAATACAATCAATATGATTTTTTTAAAGAGAAACGTAAAAACAAAAATAGAAATAATGATTATTTTTTTAATTGAAAGATACTCTAAAAAAACCTGAGCAACGTAGCGTTTTCGAGAAAGAACTAAGCATTTTGATCAATTTTTATGTCACACACCGCGAGTTTTATATAAAATATTCAACATTTATATTCTTTCTTATGTCCTCTTGCATTATGATAAGAAACGAGAACACTGCAAAACTATATATTGCGTCGCTCGTTTCTTGAGATCCGCTTTATGTTATTCGGCAAGTCTGTAGCGTAAAGAAATTGATCTTTGGCTTTTGCATACATACAGAATATGTCTCGAAATTCTCTGGAGAAACCTTTGCCTTTGTTCGCGAGAGAGTTCGTAGCATTTGAAGTTCCGTTGATTAACGGATCACCACGTTCGCACGGTATAAAGTGTGTAGTCACGGTTCGCTCCGCTCGCGTGACCAAATGGTATCTCCGGAGAGAGATAAGTATCGTTATCCTAAATAAACGGTAAATATAAGAAATTGTGTCCAACAGGTAGGCACCTCATTATAAATCCGCCCACGTTCGACTTGTGTGAACTATTCGTGTTTCACCTCTCTTCGTCACTTTGAATTTTTCTCGCACTCGAAGATATAGAGATATAAAGAAGTGAGAACCACTGATTATGTAATTAGCATTACTTCGTAATTTGCTCAAGTGCAAAGAAAAACACTTCTCCTTTGTATTTTTTATTAGATGATCAAAATTATTTGATTTTTTTACAAATTCATTCAAAATCTCTTTTCTGAAAATTATTAGTTATCTTTTTGAAATTTTTTGTAGCTCTCGTTATAAAAGAAATTCTTGTATTTTCTTTGTATTTATCTACTTTTTCAATTACCTCTATGAGAGATTAGCATTGTATTCCGCGAAATTGACAGTACTGACGTGCAATTAACTTACATCGTTCATTCTGTTTTAATGAGTTCTCGCGCTAACGGATCTTGTTAATTGAACAGAGTCTCTCACTGACACCGGTGAGGCCGCGACCGGGTCACGCGGCCTCTGGGGGAACGACGACAGCGACGGGAGTCAACGATGACAGCGATGTCGAGAGCGTGAAGAGCTTCAGCAGCGCTTGCAGTACAGCGAGCGCTTGCGAACACGCCTCTTTTGCACTGAACGGCACTACTTGGTCTGGTCGATCGCGGAAATATGTTGTTCATTGCTCAAATCACATCGGCGATAACGAGCAGTATCTTACACCGACTCAAAGAGCCGCCAGACAAATTCGGAAGTTTCAGGTATCTTATTATTATTAATTAGTATTTATTCGATTCTTAATTCAAACTATAGCGTTTTCAAAATCATACACACGCGAGTTTAATTAAGAAACTATCACTTTCTTTTACTTATTTATTTGGATTTCAATTCATTAATGTTTCGCTAAAATGTTGATCTTGAGAAATACAATACACGTTACGGTAATTGTTCTTTATTAATAAAACAATTTAAAATTAGTTAAAAACTTTAACTGAAGTGATTAAATATGCATGTATTTATATATTTATAGTGATTATATAAATTTCGTTGATAAATTAAATATAAATGGTTTTAATTTTACCTTATTTGTGTTCAGGCTTTGTTAAAAGAAGCGCGTAAAGAAATTGAAGAGAAGGATCAAGAAATCCTTCGCCTGACGAAGGAAGTTGTGGAGCTGAGATTGTACAAAGCATCTCTGAACAGTCCGGACGAACGTACGGACAGCAGCGACGCTCTCACTGTGCGCGAAAACAATCCTTTTTCGCCAGAGTCGCCGAGCAAAGATCTTCCTGACGAAAGTGCCGCGGACAAGTCCATCGCTAGTCCGGAAACGCCGGAGAAACGCGCTCAGGATCTTCCCTCGTCGTTGGCCGATTCCGGACACTTCGAAGACGGTTCCGTCCATTCGAAAGATTCTGTGTGCCTACCCGAGTCGCAGCCGGAAGTTGTCATCAGTACGCCGAGACATGCCGATGTGATCTCTCGCGATGTCGTTCCGGATACACTTCCCATAACACCAACGAGTCTAGAGAGAGATGAGGAAAGACGTCGATTAGTTAGTCATTACGAAAATAGAATTGAGGACATGCACAGGCGACATGTTGACGAGCTGCAGGAACTTAAACAAAAGCACAATGATAAAGTAAATTTTTGAGAAAAAAACATACTTGTTTTAACTGTACCTGTGTAACTTTTTTCCGCATTCTTTCTACACAAATTAAAAGATTAAAAAGAAACATACTTATTAGGTGGAAAGCTTGCTGAATCAACTGTCTGAGGTTAATACTCGTTACTGCGAGGTGCGACCGGCCGTGGACGTCGCAGAGGCTCGCGTGCGCGAATTGGAAGCAGAACTAGAGACTGTGAAGACTGAGCTTACTGAGCAGAAAGCGCTCTTTAGCGAACAGGAGGAGAGAAATAAGCAAATGTACCTGAAAATGTATGCCAAAGGTCAAGAAGCCGCTCGCATTGAACAAGCCGATCAAGTACGTGATAAGTATATCGAAGATACGTGGAAATCGAGATATGTGAATATCGAAGATATACACGTTAATAAAATTGAGTACTCATTGAATGTACTTACTGTAAAATTTTCCAGATACTCGTGCAAGCGCATCAAACACCGCCAAAAGTTTCCGTCGCAGAACTGCTTCAACAATTGACCGTCACACAAGCTGAATTAGACAATGTTAAGGTGAGACGTAGACTTATTTACATATGTAATCTACTATTCCCAAGCCGTTTACGTTGACAATTATGACAGTACAAAAATATGTCGCAGATTACTCGATATTTTATATCAGACAGTTTCCAATCAATATTAATGAATAAGGCAGTACAGATTTTTGAAGTTATTATATATATAATATATAATCAATTTTTTCAGCAAATTTGTTGTTTTTGTCGTCTCCCACGACAACTTTTTCATGATCATCAACTGCATCGCTGTACTTGCACATAACGATATTCTGATCGGTTTGACATGTGCATTCTTTCTAATTTTGTTCGCTTACGACCATTATGATCGTATGATTTATTTCCTCTCTAGATGTGTGTTTTATACTTTTGAACGACCAGAAAACTCGTGTAGTAATCTTTTTTCGCAATCTTCTCACGACTGAAACAACACAAGAAATCCTCTCGCGATTAATTAATGCGCTAACCACAATAACACACGCCTGATAAAGCGAATCTCGAATGCGAAGTTGTTCCGACACATAAGTATAATTAGCTTTGTATGTTTTGGTTTTTTCTCAGGCATTGTTCAGTTTTTTTTTTTTTTTTTTTTCATATTTCGCAAACATACACTTTTATGTGAGAGAAATGTGTACATCACATTACGAGCATTTTTCGTAGCTTCACAATACTCTTGTACTAACTATGTACCACCTTTTTTTGGTCGCCGCCTCACACTCCAGGACACAAGCTACTCGCCTGAACCTCACATTTCAGCCGAATGTAGCCCAAGTTTATTAACCGCTCAGGAGGCTGTTTCTCTCTGGGTCCTTGGCACACGTAAGGTCTGTATTTTTAAAACTCGAACTGCCAACGTGACGCAATTTTCTCATCCACCTTCTGTTGCCCGTTTTAAAGTAGCGTTTGTTTGCATTTCTTGGACGCACCGATCTTCTGTCGATGTTGTTCCTTAATAACAAAGGAGTTACAAAACGCAATATTAGCTGCATAGCTTCTGTAATTATAAATTTTTACTTAATCGCCTAAAGTCGATACAACAAATTTTTGTAACTCAAGCATTATATGAGTTTTCCGGCAGTTAACGTTGCTCAATCGTCCGTAAAAAAAATTCTCGTACTTTCAACAAGGGCTTTGTGGAAAAGAGCACTATTGCGTTCATATATTATATATCTTTTTCCTGTTTTTTTTTATATACTCGATTTAGTGAATGCTTTGCTGCAATATTTGCATGTGGATTATGAAGCACAAAAAAGTAGATGGTTTACATACTTCTATACGTTGCTCTTAGATCGGGCGATGTTATCCAGAGCACTTGGAAGAAACAGCCTCTTTATACCTCCGGTCAATGTAAGTTTGCACGTGCTTACAGCCTCCGACGCACGCTTACATCACTGCATACAGTATAATATATTACATCTTTGAGTTCAGCTAATAGTATTAGTAATTATAGGAAATAAATGAATACTAATTGTAAGTTTATTGCTTTTAATCGTTGAAAAAATATTATTGTAGTAATATTGCGACATCTTATTGTTAAATATAAAGTGTATTTATTAATTATCAGAAACTATATATTTACATTACATTATAATAATATATTTATATCATTATAAAATTCTTGATTAGAGAGATAGATGTACTATGTCTGAACTCAAAGTTGATAAGACACGGACACACACATATGCACCAACAGTTTTACACTGTCAATAGTATTTTATGTCAAAGAATCTGATTTTTTTGTAACAGTTTTGGTTTTTACAAGTTCTGTTTTTTCTCTTCGATCAGGCGATGTATCGACGTATCGTAGAGGCGAGAAGCAAACAAGGCACTCTCGATCCGGAAATCACTCTGCAGTTCCTAAAGTCGGCGATTTACTATTTTCTAACCGACAAGGAGAATCATCAGGGTCACCTAAACGCAATTGAAAGTATCCTGGGTTTCAGCGACGCGGAGAAACATACCATCGATAAGCTATATCGATCGGTGAGAAAGTAGCATTTCCTGAAATCTTATTTCAAATTGTATCATTGATAATAATTATCTGGTGTTAAACGGCTTTAACACCCAGATATTTTAAAACTTCCTCCGCCGTGGTAGCTGGTTTAAAAATACACACACACAAAACGTATCTAAAAAATTTGTATAAACTTCACTTGACATTTGTTTACTGAAAAAACGAAGAAGATTTATGACAAACGACAGAAGTTAGTATATTTTACTTCATCATAAAAATCAGTGGCATAGTAAAGAAGAACAGAGAAGATCCATCCATCTCGGATATTGTTTTAGCAGGAACGCAATTTAAACGCTTTTTTATTCCTCCGAGCTAGAGCATTGTTTAATTTAATAAAATAATCATTTCTATTTCATCTATTCTCAATTCTCCGACTTGCGTAATAAAAGCACGGAGTATTTCTTTATAAAAGTCGACGTTTCTCTCTTTAATGTTACTATAGTTTTCAGCGCAGAAAAAAAAAACTGTTTTGGTTTTTCTTACTTATTAATGCGCTCTTTTCTTTTCTGAAACAATTGAATCGCACGGAAAAAAACAAGTCATTTACGCTTTTGACTCTACTATCTATGGTCTTCTACATTATAAACGAATACGCGAATATTACTATATAGTTAACCGTAGGCCACTAAACTAAAAAAGCTATTTGCTAATTAGTTTATTGGATGGTTACTATCAGTACTCTAACGAGGTGACTCATCTGTATCAATGTTTGTATCGAAATAGTTTCGATTTTTTATTTTCCATCGCAATTAGTTTTCTCGTTCCAGTTTGTTCTGATTTTGGCTAATTTGTCTTGGATATATGTTGTCCAAATTGAAGTGTTTTTTGTCATAAGAGAATTTCCAAAAATCAAAAGTAGATAATAATCTCATTGATATCATTAATGCTATGCTCATTTTTTAAAAAATAATTGATACCACAATTAGAGTGAAAAATTTTACATCTAAACTTGATTATTGACTATTCTTTTATTATTTTAACTGTTAAAACGCTTATTAAAAAGTTAAAAAAAAAACTACTCGAAGAAGAATAGATAAAATCATCTTTTCCCAACGTTCTGGATGCCTCGATCATAAGACATCAGTTTTGCGGTGAAGAAAAAAAAAAGTTTTTATTGGTTTCCAAAAATGCACGTTTTTTTTCATTTATATAGTTTTGCAATGATCGAAGTGATAATCTGATAGTGCGATATAAAAATAAATGCAGTAAGTTTGATATGATATCTCAGTGCTTCATATGATATTTTAGTTCTTTTATGTTGCGCAAGGTCTGTTTTGCAAGTGTGTAGTTTTGCGTAATAAAAAACGACTCTTTTACGATTGGCCAGAATTAGACGCTTTGTTTGGGTTGCTATTTTTAAATTGTCTAATTGTTGCATATATGTGCAATAATAAAGTAGAAATGGTAATCTAAAGTATAAATAATAACTTTCTTGAGTGCTCATATTTCTCTCTCTCTCTCTCATTTATCTAAAATTGAATGTTCCAAAATTGGCGACGGAATATACAGTTATGTTATTAATAAGGAAAGCGATATTGGGAAAAAAAGACCGTTCCGGACACTGTCTTTTCTTACTACGCCACGCATAAGACATCGAGTTTTTTTTGTAAAGTAATAAAAATTTTAATTTTTTAATGTAATTTAATCGCAAGAATTTATACAAGTCTTTTCAGATATATACACATTTTCACTAAATTTTATTTATATTCACGATGCAAGAAGTATAAGAAAAACAATCTGGCATTTACGCGCAGAATAATTCTAGATAGATTTAAATATACATTTTAGATCACACTTCACTGATTTCGGTGCGCTTTAGATATGTTGTAGGGCAAGTCATACTGAATAATTATCTAAAAAAATTTTGTTGGGGACGGTCTTGATTTTGGAAATGGCAATTTAAGGTTTCTGCACAATACTACTATTTTTGTAATACTACTATGTTCGTTTTGTTCGTGTTATAAGCGTGTAGGCAGAAAGAGGTTTTGCCACTCCCTGCTCTCCCCTTCGAAGAACACGTAGACACTTTCGACATGAAGCGACATTTAATTATTTTACATTCCTCAACACATCAGTTCGACAAACTTAACTATTTATATTAGCTTATAATATTTAGAGTAAAGCATTAAAAGTCTTAAACCTCAATTTCATACCTCAAAAATCAAGGCCGTCCCCCGCAAAACTGTTTAAGATAATAATTTTAGAACTCAGTATGACCTGGTCTACAACTAAATATTTAAAGCGCAACAAAATCGGTGAAGTGTGACCTAAAATGCATATTAACCGATTTATGAAATATGTAAGTGTAAAAATACTTCAAATCTAACGCGCGCGCGCGCACACACACACACACACATACATCATTATCACCATCATCATCACATCACAGTTTTATCACAATGCTGTGTGAGTTGTTAGTTGGCGATGTTAGGAAGAAATTACATAGGTTGCTTTTAGAGATATTTATCTAAAAGTTCTGGAATTTAAATATAAATTGTACATATACGGCTTTTGGACTCGCGAAAGGGATATTTATTTAAAAGTATCGACTGTTCTACGAAAATAGTCATGTATTGCAAATTAATATTGCACGATCTATATGCTCTAAATTAATATATTCAAAATATATATTCTAGTTAATACGTGAAAAAATATATTGTCTAGTTATGCAAGAGTCAAAGTTTGCTCTTTAAATGGATTTTATTACGTGTGTATATCATTCAAATACATATGAAACATTACGAAGTTGAACAAGATATGTGATATATAGATGAGAAGTTATATAGATAAAGAAAGAGAGTGTGTGTAAAATCGATTTCTCGAAGAATTTATCTTTATGGAATTATATATTATTTGAAATACAGAGTAGTGCCTCACTAACTTTTCGCTTCTTGATTCCGCAAATGGATATCAAGTAAGGTATATGTTCCGAGAATTGCTGGCTGTTATCTCTGATTGGCTTGACCATGGGCTCGACTGCCGCAGAGTCATTCCTATCAATTCGCGCGAAGCCTCGGCGAAGCACTTCTAGGAATTGGTGAGGATGACTCCTGGCACGATACCGAGAAAAAAATTCGGCACGTTAGCGAGGAACTACTGTACATACATACGCCCGTTTCTTTTTGTACGCAAGTATAAGACAAAACAAAGGTGTACATGAAAGAGTTGGTATCTTTCTCGTTAACATGTAAATCACCAAGAATGTAAAGAAATTTATAACATGTACATTACATGTATTACAAGATAAATCAGAGTTTCCGTCAGTCAAACTTTCTGACGCATACATATATATGTGACGGAAAAAATTTTGACTTAGAAGAGATCTATAGCGTGACTATAGAAAAGAGAAATTCAGACATCGTAATTCTGAATCTTGTATCTTGTGTAAATATTATCTATATCAAAGTCTGGTGATATGAGACGTCCAGATAAGGAAACAATATCGAGACTGAAGGATATATCTTGCCTTTTTATCTGCTTATAACTATTTCTCAAGTTTAAGTAGATATTACGAAAGAATATTCAAGTGCAACTATTAGTAGATCACGACAAACACAAAACTCTTCCTATGTCTTAACTATAATTCTTTACTTTTCACGATATATATATTTTTTGTTATTTAAAAAACCAAAGAGAAGTTGAAGGCAATTATAATTATTACACATAGATATTTTATTAACGCTTGATCTTGTATCAACCGTTGCATATAAAACTTATATAAAACTTTTAATTTAAAATTTAGATTTGCTCAAGAAGATTAAGAATATTGCAGTAAATTGCAATATAGAATGAAATAAACTTTGGTTTTATTACTTTTGCATGTTTTATATTAGTGGGATTTGCGATTAAAATGAAGATAACGATGTTTTAAGCACTTTTGTTTTATTTTTGACGCAATTAGTGTGAAAAATGTATGCCTAAGGTGCCAATAATGTAATTTCATACCACATACAGATCTTAAAATAACATTCTTCCCTTTGATCTATGTTTATAAATCAAAAAGCCGAATATACACTCTATCAAAACGTCCAATATCAATAATTTCACATATATCTAAAAGTAGTCACGTAGTGACTACTTTTCAAAAGTATCTAACTTTGTGAATTGTAAATGATTTATAAAAAAATTCAGTTATGATATTCATTTTATAATAAAGTTTCTTTTGCATGCATTGCGCGATGCTAGATCTAAGTATTTATCTATAAGCTCGGACACTACAAAGATTATATATACATATATATATATATATATATACAGCTTTGTCATTCCAGAAAAATAAATATCGATAAATTTATATCGATGCAAAAGAAATTGTTAAACGTTTCATATCTTTTGAATAGAACTATAAATTTGTTGATGCAATATTTTTGACAAATAATTACGTGCAATTACGTACAATAGAATGTATCATATTGTGCATGGTCGGAAGTAGTTCTCTGACCGCCTTCTACTCTGCCTTTTGCCAACGACTCAAGATCTGACTATATATCCGACGATATAATACCGATGCTCATGTTTTACTATGACAACGTTATTATCATGAATATAAAAAACAATTTGTCGAATATCTGACAACAAAAACTTCGCTAATAAAACGCCACTTTTTAGATACTTTAATGTGCACATAAAAATATAAAATTTTATATTACAAAAAAATTGAAAATAATAAAAAATTCTATTTTATGTGTGCGTACATATTAAAGTTTTAAATATAATTTTAGTTTGAATATAAATGTATATCCTAATGTTTATTTATTCGATTATTTGCTTTTTGTGAAAAATTTACTTATGGTGAATGCAAATAAGTAAAACATTTAATTAAAAAATTTACAATTTATCTTGTAATAAAAATTATATTTTATACACAAATATTAAAATATTTAAATAGGTATTTATCATTGTTTTATTTTGTATCAGATTTTCGAAACAAAGGATTATTCTTTTCGTCGATGCTCGTGTTAATATTATAGTAATACATAAACATCGCTATTATCGCGATGTTCATTGCGGTAACTGGCCAGAGGCCAGAAAGCGGCGTGCGATAGTAGGAGACGACCGCGCACAATATAGTGTACTTTACTGTATAGTGCTCTCTCTGTAAAGAGTTTCTAAATTTTCCTTTTTTTATACATTGAAATAAAAAATCACTAATTTATTCTTATTCTATCAAGTTTGATGGTAATTGTAAAGAATGTGTGAGGAAAGAAATAAAAATATAGAAAATCTAAACTGTCTATCCAAATTTCTTATTTTATAAATTAATATAATATATATACAGAGTGTCCCATATATATAATTGCCGTCTAACCGCTCATAGGTAGATAGAAAGGGTTATTTTAAGACAAAAAGTTCTATACCACTTTGCAAAATTCGCGATAATTAACGAAATATTAATTAATAAAGATTCGCTAATCAGCGCGCATCCAGCCTAAGAACACAGCCTATTCTGTCGCGCGTAAGACAGCCCGATGCATGTTTATTCGCTGATCTTTGTTAATAAAGTTCCTTCGAAATAAACCAGGTCTCCTTGTTTACGCAACTTGTTGCCACGGACGTGACTATATATATGATGAATAGTATGAGATAAATGGTTGAAATAAAGATAATAGATCAATAATTTAGTTTTATTAAATTGTATTTTAAGGATGTAGTACATACAAATTAGACAACATTACTTTTTTCCAGCTATAATAATACCATCATACTTTTGCTGGAACCATTTCATCGCATCTTCTTTGGTAAGTCTATGTTGAAAACCGACCTTACCAGTTTTTCGTCTTCTGTGAGCTACGTTGAATCCTAGAGAAATATAAACTTAAATTTATTAATGCGTGTAACGTACAAGGAATTTGATTTTCTATTACATTTATGATAAAGTTATATAATAAATTTATACAATAAATATCCTCACAAGTGTTGCCTCAATTAAGTAACACACCCAGTAAAATGAAGTGGATATGAGTTGCAAATATGAAGCATTTTCTTTAGCACATGTATTAAAACACTTATAGACATTGCCATAAAACAGGAATATCTATACGATACCAAGTAATGTGCAATATTTCCGCTACTATTTAATACAAGTCATATTTAAGAAAAATCATTTTTACTAACCTGGACGTCCAAGTACAACATAGAAGTCTAACCCATAAATACCAATGCTGGGATCGTACTTAATTCCGAGGTCAATGTGTTCTTGAATTCCAAAACCAAAATTACCAGTTCCAGAAAAATTTTCTTTTTTTAATTCATATTCACGTACCTACGTTGGATTAATTAGGTTAGGTTAGGTTAGATTAGAATCACACGTAGAGATTTGCGGCGACCGTTATTTTTCCCGTGGTGGTACCGTCCACCTCGAATGTTTTGTTTGTACAATTAAGTCGCCGCAGGACCGTGACGAGTTGAGGTGGGGGCCTCAGCTCGTCTTGCACGCGGTCCGTGTAGAGGTGACACTGCGGTGTGTGTCCCGTGGTGTCACCAAGAGAAAGTTTTGTACGCCCCGTACGTGAGGGAGAGGACTTGTACCTTTCCCTCCAGAAAGTAGCTAAGCTCCAGGGGGGGGACCCGCGCGCATCCTGATACTGGAATCCCGGGTCCCTCCCTATTATGAGCAGAGAAGACACACCATGGGAGTTTTAGTGGGTACACCTCCTCCCGCTTGTGGGTGGGAGGAGGGATTCCCACATAACCCTGACTCTTCCCCCAGAGTTAGGGTATCCATAAAGGATTTCTCCCATGTAAAAAAAAAAAAAAAAAAAAAAAGAAAAAAAAAACAATAAACACAAATAGTTTGCACAATGACTCTATTCTACCTTTAATCCTCGTTCAAGGATTTCTTCAGCTTTTGCACCACGAACAGTACAATGTACAGCGATTTTTTCATTACGACGAATACCAAAAGAACGTACAGTATATCTAGCCTTAGAGAACACAGGTTGCTGACCAGTCAGTTGCTCTAATACCTAAATGAAAAGGGCTAGAGTTTAATAATTTAATTATCTACTACAATATTATATATGTTTTACTTTATATATATATATGAAATATAAATTTATTATGTATAAATATATTTTACTCAAGAAAAAAAGAATAAATCTATAAATTTACCTTGGCAGCACGTGTCAATCTGTCACCAGACTCTCCAACACAAATATTCAAACACAGTTTTCTAATACGTACTTCTCGCATTACATTTTTTGAAGCATCTTTTGGCTCCTTTTTCACTTTCTTCTTTTGTACCTTTTCGGTCTTTGCGACCTTCTTTTCTGGTACTTTTTTCGCTACATCCTGATATTAAAATATAAGTTGAATTAATTTCTGACTCCAGAAAAATGTTGTTAACATGTACATAACCAAATATTTATTAAATGTCTTATTATAATTTACTCGAAGAAAACATACGATTTAAAAAAATAAAATTAATCGATTATGTCGGTCGACTTTACATCAGTTTATTGGTGGGAAGTAAATAAACAATAAAATTCTATTATAAAATTCACTACATAGATGATATATATACTGCAGATTGAAACAAGCTGTAACATTGTCAAAGAGACAAAAGTTTAAACATAAACAAATTTGTTTTGAACAAATGTTATTAATAATTCGGCAACGGTATTAGCTATTTTCTCAGCAAGATACTATTTAATAGAACTATATGATGCAAAGGATTTACTTAGATACAAATAAATGTTTTCGGATCAAAAAACATCTGCTTACCGCCATTGTAGTAGAAGAATGTGAGCAGTGTGGCAAACTTTGGCCAACTAGCACCGAGATAGTGGGAGCCAGTATACACAGAGTGCTTTCCAGCTAAGCTACACAGACGACTAGTGGCGCTGTGTAAAGGTCATCACACATAAAATTATTTAAGGCCTGTTTTACAATACAATCGTAAGTTTTAAGTCGTAAGAAATTGACCAATCACAAATAAATCACAGAAGAATAATCGATTGTGATTAGTCAATTTCTTAAGGCCATCGCACATGAATCTTCATAACAGTAAGGGCGATGTCTCATTGAGCGGAAATATATAGCGGAACGGAATGTGCGGAACCAGTTCGACCAATCATAGCCATTCCGTTTTCTTTCCTTCGCTTTTTCTGCGGTTACGATTGGTCGAGCTGGTTCCGCTATAGATTTCCGCTCAATGGGACATAGCCCTAAGCATACGACGTAACGTAGGAATTAGCCAATGAATGAACGTATAGAATAATTTAACCAATCATTGAATAGCCATAAGCCTCTGTACTTAACAATAATAAACATAAGATATAATTTGACCAATCAAAAATGATTTTTAGAAGAAAATAGAAAGAGAAATTTCAGGTTAGCCAAGATAATTTTTTTTCATTTTTAGTTTATTTTAAATATAAGAAATTACTATAGAAACATTTTATAATATATAAAACTTATGTAAAAAAAGTTATATAGAAATAATAATATAATATGAACAGTGAAGAAAATACTTAGAATAAGATCATTAAACAAATATTATTTAAATTAAATATTATTTATAAGAATGAGCAATATTTGGAAAAATAATACTTTTCTATGTTCAATCATGCAACGGTGTGGACTAGTTATTGTATGGAGATTGTAATGAGATATGCAAATATATATTAATTTTGCACTGACCATAGATCAAGTAGAATTGAGATGACACAACTTTTCGTAGCAACTACTCGTATGCACAAATTTTTCCGTACCGTACGTACCGACAAGTTATTGAGTACGTAGTTGCCAATGTGCACCACCCCACATTGCGCTGGCTTACAGAGCGGAAAAGCAAATACACATTCTCTCATGGGCCTTGGCCGCTCTCAATCTTCTCTCTGCTTTAACGCGCTGACGTTTTAACATCCAACATCCAACCATCAAAGGTCAAAGGTACCGATGGCAGAGTTGCACCGCTGTGTGTAGTGTGTAGTGTAAGCACTCGCAAGACCATGTGAAAGCTTATCTGAGAGAACGAGAAACGCCCAAAACTTTATTACAAATTTGATATTACGTTGACAAATTAAGAAGTGATCAATTCGCTCGTAAATAATTCAATAATTATTTATTATATAATTTCACGTTCAAATATCACTATCGCGCAAGAATAAATTGTGCGATTCGTCATTGACAGCGTAGAAATGTCACTACTATCAAGCGTGTTTTCTGCAGCACGTATATACGTATTACATTTTGCGATACTTTTGATATTGTGCGCTAAGCAAGATGAATCGTTTTATAATTTTTTTATTACATACATATAATACTAAGTGCGTACGGAATATACATATATATAACCACAATGTAAAGTTTTATATAACACATTTTGATCACTGATGTCACGTATGTTGTTATTTTGATTGCAAACGTTATAATTATATCTTCAAAAAATTATTAGACATAATTTAATATTAATATAATGTTTTTAAAGTGCAAGTAATGTCTTTCTTAAGATATGTAAATTATGTGATTTCAAGTTTTAATAGGCAGTTTCTGAAGTTCGCACAAAAGCATATAACATAAGAAAAGCAGTATATACGAATATACGTTCGTTATATTGCATCTTTTGTGAAATTGTGAGGTATAAGATGCTTCGCAAAGTCTTTGGTTGAAGCTGAGAACATGTTAAATAAATTATAAAAACAACAGGCATAAAAGTATTTGATTATTATTGCGTTTTGATTAAAAATCATCAACAAAATAAACAGTTGACAGTTTGCAAAATAAAGAAATTGTTTTTCAGCTTGTATATAAAATCAAATAAAGTCTCATTGATATAAAAATTATATGCTTGTAAATATTTTATAAGCATATGATTTTTAATACAATCTTTTCACAAGTTTCTTCATTGAAAGGTATAGCTTAAATTTTATTCTTTGTTTATACATATATGTGTATATACTTTTAAAGATATACACATATGTATATGTATATACATATGTGTATATACTTTTAAAATTAGGCTGTATCAATGAAACAATGGCTACTGGTAGTAGTAGTTTTATAAGTAAACCACCACGAGGATGGTTACATCCGGATCATCTAGTAAGTACGGAAGGAATTACTTATACCGTAAAGGTATGTACATTATATTTTTATTTCTTTGTGCGTATGTGCGTGTATATATATAACTTACAAATATGTATACAAAATTGCAGTACATAGGATGTCTCGAAGTATATACATCTATGAAAAGCTTAGATTTTGAAACACGGTCATGTGTAGCTAAGTAAGTTGTTGCGAGCATCATAGTCTGTTAAAAAATTCATTCTTAAAACTAAAGTGTCAATAATCTTCATTTTTATTACAGAGAATGTATAAATAGAGTTTGCGAAGCTGCTGGATTAAAATCAGCTGATAAAAAACGCAGGGTACATACAAATAAATAAATAAATAAATAAATATATATATATATATTTATACATATATTATACAAAATTATTGATATATATACACAAATTATATTGTGCATTATAATTTGTATATCAATAATTTTAATAAAATTCTTGTTAGGTCGACAGGAAAGTATTGAGAGCTATCGCAGATAAACCTCGTATGGAACATACTACCGCTACTGTTAATTTAACTATCAGTAGTTGTAGTTTATCTCTAACTAATATCGAAACTGGACATATTATTGCTAAACATGATATGCCAAGAATATCTTTTGCTTCAGGTGGTGATACGGTAAAGCATTATATTTACGTCGGTAATGTTGCGTATATTTATATACAAATACTTTATTACAATAAGATAAAATCTATTTATGCAACAGGAAATATTGGATTTTGTTGCCTACGTTGCTAAAAATATGCAAGAGTGGCGCGCATGTTACGTGCTCGAATGCACAAATGGTTTAGCGCAGGATGTTATTTCTACTATTGGACAAGCTTTTGAACTTAGATTTAAAGAGTTTCTTACAAAACCAAGTTCTTTCTTACAGTAAGTTTTTCATTACACAAAGATTCATTTATACGGGTTTACGTATAAACTTGTGTTTCATTTAATCTTTTTACATATTTATACATACATATCTATATATATTTATATCTACTTTTCTAGCCCTGGGTTAAATGGTGCCAGAGAAATAGATAGGGATTATTATAATGATTTACCAGGAAAAGTACCACCAGACATTGGTCCACCACCGGTACCTCCTTTACCCACTATAGCATCCACACTGCCTAATCTCAAGCATCATCAAAATCATGCCTCAACACGTACTCAAAGAGAGAAAGAAAATAACGATTTGTTCTCTCCTGAGACACAACAATTGGCAGGTAATGTTTTTATAATTTTTTTTACAGAGCTGTAAAAGTGTTTAGTAGAATTCTTTTAGAACAATAATAGAAAACTTCTTCCTATACATGTGTATCTGTGTATACCTTGACTTAATTTATTTCAATCTTCTGGACAGAAACTGGAAACTTGATTGATTTAAATTCTGACGATGCTATTTCTTCATCAACGAATGTAAATATAACATCTGAGCATAATTATGTGAATGATAGTGTTATAGCTGCCAACAGAGATAATCATCGCGATCCAACATCATTTTTTGATGTTTTTGATATGCGTAAGTATAATTGCCTACATAGTATTAGAAATTCTATTCTCAATTTCTTAATGAATATATTTTTTTTCAAATTGCTGTCAATTAGTAATCATTACTTTAATATTTGTACAATTTGTGTTATTTTTATCCGTATACGGTATACACACTCGGAACCAACGAATCGCCTTTCGCTAAAGAAAAAAAAGATTGACTTTTACGCGCGCAGCTTTTTTTCAACCGCGATTGCTCGATAAGAAGTAAAATGACGAAAAGAAACTCTTTTTTTTTCAACTTACCACTTCTCATTAAATCATCTTTGTCATTATCGAAAACATATTACTCGAAATGGGAGTGCAAAATCAGTGTTGCCGAGTGAACATACAGAACTTGTTTCTAGTTCTTTTTGCGTTACATTAAAACTTATTTACGACTTTCAGAACCGTTTAGTTCCGCTATATCGGATATGAGTAGATTGAGTCCCCATTCGCAAAAACAGCAGTTGGAACAAGAAATTTGGTTTCACGGAAGCGTCAGCCGATCCGAAGCAGAATCTATGCTTACACGAGTAAATATTATTATATTTATCTATCGTATCAGAATTATATATAATTATATCAGACCTGATATTATGTATATCAAACCAGATTATTATAAATTTTATGTATTTTACTATTTATTTTACTTACAAGGATGGCGACTTCTTGGTCCGAGAATCGCACGGTTCTCCTGATCAATATGTATTGACTGGTATGCATAATGGCACCGCAAAGCATTTACTTCTGATAGATCCAGAAGGCGTCGTAAGTATATATATATATATATATATATATATATAGCGTAAAATAAACTTTACGCAATGAAAATTATTGCAGTGCTTGTAAAATTTATATACAGTTTATAAACAATAATTTTATTTATATACAGTTAAATACTGAGATGCGATTTTAATATTATTTTCATTTGAAAATTATATTTGAACACTAAAAAGTACTAATTGTAAACAAACAAACGTACAAAAATAACGTATCGTAACTAAATAAACAAACATTTATTTACAGGTTCGCACGAAAGATCGTGTATTTGATAGCGTAAGTCACTTAGTGAATCATCATTGCGACAACGTATTACCTATCATATCGGCTGACAGTGTTCTAGTGTTGCGTCACCCTATTCCAAGAGACATAAATTATTAAATTTTGTAACGAGATGTCAAATAACAAGAGCGCACAGACTTGGCAGCGATTTTCTAAATAGTTATTTCGCATATATTTTTTATATGAGAATCTTTGACAAGTCTATGGCTTTTTGATATTTTTTAAATCGAGTTCTTTTTTGAATATATAAGAAAAAATACACACACAAATTTTATTTGTCTTTCCGTTGTGCAACGAATAGACAATTTGCGAGGAAAAATAGTTGCCAGTGAATCTCTATATAAAAATGTGCCACTCTAACCAAAGCAAAGTATAGTTTTTATATAAATTATTATTTGCCTTTTTTCAAATTTATTTACTATTCGTCTATTTTATTAGAGATATCGCTAAATGAAAAGATTTATCCTTTTACATTGTGTGTGTTCTTTAAACATACTAACGTGTTTATATTATATACCAACATATGTAAACTATAATTATAACGTATTACAATTATCCTCTTTAAATTTTTTATTTCATTATTTGAAATAGAAAATATATACACAAATAGTTTCCAAGCATCATTTTTTTTCCAGTACCTTCTCCGTCTTCTTTACTTCGGTACAATATATAAATTGTAAAGAAAGTGGTCGCAATATTTTAGACACGTTTTAGTATTTCACAGTACACAGCGCGTCATTGAATCACGGAATAGGCGCGGGATCGGAGGACAAGCGGGGCGCGCGCGGTTGCTCCCCAACAAGCGCCGTACGAATCGTACGACCCGCTTGCCCTCCGATCCCCGCGCCTATTCCGCGATTCAATGACGCGCTGTGTACGTATATATACGTGTAGGTGTGTGCGTGTGTGTATATAATGTATAAAATAAAGCAAAATATTGACGAGTATCACATAATCAAAACTGAATTTATTTACAATAACGGTCAGCTTTCATTTTGCTTCTTCTATCCAGCAGAGTTTCGTGTAAATTTCCTTCTATTTTTGCTGTTTCCAATTCAGATCGATCAGACTTATTTAGTCTCAATTTTTTATCTTGAAATTTTTGAAACTTTCGTCTGCAAAATCATATATTACTATCAGAACATACACATATGTCAAAAATATTTTTATTTTTTTTTAAACGAGACACGAAGCTACAGTTTAGTAGCAGATTATGTATCACATACATGTAACATTTAGACAGAATTATCAAAATTCTAGAAATAGATATCGATATATCTACTTGCATACAAATATACTGACAAACTTTTATACTCACACGTAATTTATTTCAACTTCTGTAAGGGAACCTTGTTCTTCTTTTGGAATATCTTTGTTTGGACTTTGAGAACGTTGTCTTATATTTCTTACAATGACAAACTCCGATGGACCAGCTGTTCTATTTTGGCAAATTACGTCATCATCACTTGTAAGACCCATGAAACATCCTGTACTACTTAATATAGCAAGTTTATCGTCCTACACAAAAAAAAAGGATAAATTTGTGTGTGTATGTGTGTATATATACATATACACACACAAATATAAAATATAAAATGTGTACACACACAACGTACGTACTAAGTGTCTAAAAACTCGCGCGGAATAAATGTGATCATTTACACCAAAAGAAACAACTCCAACACATAATTTTTTAATAAAAGCAGATTAAAGTTAACAAATAAGCGTTCTCGTCTATGTTCACGCTGTTTAGGAACAACGCGCCATTGTTTTTTCCATCGTTCGTGTATCTAGCCCTTATTTTTTCTCGCTAATGTAATATGCTTACAATATGATAAAAACTAACAAAATAATTATTGGATTATTGGATTTTTGCTTCAAAATGATGAGAGGAAAACCAATCATTTAAATTACAATTTCGAGTTCATCGACATCCTTTCCCTTTACAAATTTATAAAATTTTGTAATATAAAACATAAAATTGCAAAAGTCATTAAAACTAATTATAAACCATGTGTAAAATTTTTTCAGATTATATCTGTTACAATATAAATGTAGAAATTACTTGGAATATCGGTTCCCATTGTTCAATAGATCCTACAGCATCACACCGTCCAATAACAACACCTTTTTTGTCAACACCAAGATATTTGCCATATCCTGACTTTAAAGCAATTTTGCTTTCACTTATAGGCAGTGCCGTCAAAATTTCTTCAGGTGACGGACCTTCTCCTTCTTTATGTGGAATACCAAGAGTAAATAAGCCATTATCCAAAGCTTTCATATAAGTATGATTGCCAAATTCAATAGCTACTGTTCCCGTAATCTCTGATATATTCTTAACTTTCCACCATCCTCCTAGAAAAAAAAAAAGTATTATTTATACAGACATGTACACAATTGTTTTCCATCATATAAAATACGAAATTAAACAAATACCATGAGTAATAGTATCTTTATCCTCTATAGTTATATCCTGTTCTTTGTCTTGTCTTTTGGACTTTCGTTTCTTTGACCTAATATATAAATGTATAAAATATGATATTAAAGTTATTAAAACTTTAAAAGTACATGTTTCTCTTATATATATATTTAAATTTTATTTACTTAAAATCTAAGAAGAAAGAGATATACTATAAATATTTAACACGAGAGTTTTTTAATCGTACCTTAATTGTTTTTCACCTTTCAATATTAACTTTCCAGTTCTTACTTTCTCGTATTCGGACATTTCAGAATTTACTTGTTTTTTTCTTCTTGATTTTCGATGTTGCAGTTGTTTCCTTTCTTTTCTTTACTTTTGACACAGTACTACACTCAACGATGCGACAACGAGGTTAGATCAGGTTAAACTTTGTTGAAACGCTCCAACAGACGAATGCACTCAACCCTATATAAACTTATTCCGCTCGAGTATGTTCCACTTGGAAGTCACAACGATCGCGAGCGTAAGTCGCATCCACATTGTCCAATCGCATTGGTTATGTCCGGCAAATCGACCAATGGCCGCGTTCAGCGGAGCACAAGCTGCTACGTAGCAATAGAACGTGATTCGCTCTTATTCTCAGAACCAACAAATCAACGTCGACTGGTGACGAGACGAACACTCAGCAATTGTTCCGCACTGAACACGGCCAATGTGACAGAACATTGCAACAATCAAACTTGATTAGCAAGTGAAACGCATCTTTTGCTAAAAAGCATCTTAAAAAAAAACAAACGTGTCAATGAATCGATCATGACGGATTGGTATCGAGAAAAGATTTCGCGCTTGTGCGAATTGAATAACGCGGAGGAAAAGAGGGAGGTTTTGACGGACATCAAAATCAAATTCAATAACTTAAACAATCGAGATGCCGAACAAATTGCTAGGAATTTGGACTATAGACCATTCTATTTACAGTTAACCTGTAACGATAGGTATAATGACACAGATAAATTTTACGGAGTTTATACAATACTTGCGAGTCAGTCATTTTTTTTTTTTAAATTAACACACAAAACATTACGCTCTCTAAAATATAAGATACCGCTATTTCGTACAATATAATACTACCGCGATTTGCCAAAAATACGCGTGACAATTTAACATTTGTCTGTATTTCTTTTACAGAGAAATAGTAGAGCAGATATGTGACGTTCTGGCCATTCTGTTCAATGTACTCGAACCTGGAGAAATTTATCAAAGATACTTGGATGAATTTTTGACCTTGTTAACTAATTCAAATGCTAGCGTGAGATTGCTCGTGTTACATGAATATTTGCGTACAGCTTCGTATCCGGAAAAACTTTCTCAATTACTGGAAACCACTCTTCTAATCTCGATTATAGATCGAATTGGCGACAACGATTTAACGGTTGCCGAATGCGCTATGAGTTTAGTAGAAAAAATTGGAAAAACTCCAAACGGTTTACATGTTCTCTACAAAGGTGAACCTCTGAAAGCATTCGCTAGGTTGTTGCAGAAAAATACCATTAGTTTTCGCGTTTACGAAGTTATCGTGAACATAGCCAAAATGTCAAGAGAAGCTTTAGAAATATCAGCTCAATCAGGTTTTTTGACCAGTTTAATCGATTTGTTGGAAAACGAGGATATACTGCTTCAGTTAAACGCCTTGGAGATACTGACTCAATTAGCTATATTCGAAGAAGGTCTTAGTTATTTAGAACAGCAAGAAGTATTGAGCAAATTAGTTCAAAAGATAGCTCAAGCCAATGAGAATCCTTTATCAAATCTACTGATTCCCGGATTAATGAAATTCTTTGGTAACGTCGCACGTCATTGGCCCAGCGAATTATTTCTCAGATATCCCGTAATAATATCCGCGCTATTTGAGGTGATAGACAGCGGAGATCAGAATATCATGGGAACAGCATTGGACACATTGGGATTTGTATCCGCGAGCGTTGAAGGTAAATACGCGCTACAAGCTCTAGGGGACACAATGATCAGCGCTATGAAGAAAATCGCCGAAATAGTGCAGAGAATGCCTACCACTTTGAGAATTCGCGGCCTGAATAACTTAGCTCTTATACTCGAAGTACAAGAAGTCAACCAAGATAACAGGATTTTGTCCCTGACAAAGCTGTGGTTCGACTCGATGTGCGACGATTCTTTGGGTATGATCGCGGCGATATGCAGACAACCGTTTGCAGATATCAGACAAGCTGGTTTAGAAGTACTAGCAGTCATCGCCTCGCAAGTCTGGGGACAAGAGTACATATCTAATTATCCAGGATTGACAGAGTTCCTCTTAGATAGAAATATCGAATCGTTTAAAGAGTGCAAAGACGCGAAATACGAAATCGTCAAGCGTCTGTCTCAGGCGGAGCGAGATATATTCGATGCGGATACTATGCAGAAATTCAAGCAATTTGTCAGCGAGGGTCCGTATTTCATTGACGTCAATACAGAAGTAGCGATAGAGGGAGCTTTGTAAAAACACAAAAGACATTTGATTTATTTCCGCGCATTATATTATATTCAATATTTATATCGTATAAATACATGTAATATACACATATATTAATTACAAACAGTTGTTTCAAATTTAGAGAGAAAAAGAATTATAATATTTATTTTACGTTTTATCAACAAAGTGTTGTATTTTTTTCACTTTGAAGTTTATTACAAGAACGATCCAATTTCACTAAACTATTTCTTACGTTTTTTAAAGTTGCGTACGATCTGTACAATTTTATATATTTTTTATATTTTATTTAAAAGAAATATCTAATTTAAAAGAGCAGCGTGTGTATGTGTATTGCGCGCGATAAATTATGTAAAAAATTGATATACAAACAAAAGTATTTGAATATCTAACAATTACACAAAAATGTGTTGTATTCGAAGTAAACAAAGTTGTTAGTTATTGGTATAACATGTATGTAATGAGGTTTACAACATATATGTGTATATACACATACATACATACACATATATATATATACATATAAACATATATATATATATATGTTAGTTTCGTCTTTGCAAACACAAAAATCTTATATATAATGTATAAATAAAAATGTATAAATAATTGTATGAGCATTCGATGTTGGAAATGTTTTATTTATTCTCTACTGTATACGTCTTCGTTTCTTCGGTGACAGTATTTTGAGCATACTGACGATTGGCGCTTCAAAAGCGACCGACACAACAAAGGATAACGCGTAAGATAACACTAGTTGTCCCAAAAATGTTATCATCTAAAAAAAATAAAACATTTTACAACAAGTTTTGTGGCGTAGGCATGTTATTAGAAAAATTCCGTTTAACGCTTACTACTACGTCTTTTCCAAGATGAAAAGGACTATCCAGGTTCATTGCGGTCAAACNAATCACAAGAGGATGAACCAAATACGCGCAGTAGGTAACTCTGCTAAAAGGATACAAGAGTGGCCACGATAGTATTTTGTTTACGTATCCTGAAAATAGAATCGTTCGTTAATTAACAACAACGGTTAATTTATGTAACCTGATTTACGTAGATTTAATCTCACCTCCGTAGCCAGTGCTGCACGCTATTACGATCCACGCTAAGCCAAGTGCCCACGCGGAATGACTCAACGAGGAATACGCAGCAGCTGTAGCAGGTGCAAGTTTCGCTTCGTACAGGCCGTAAAGCAAACTTAAAAGACACGCNGAAGACAAAAGCCATCCTATGATAACGGTAGTCTAGAAATGAACATTCTTCTTACTCGTTTTTAAAGCTTCCGCGATAGCTTCCGCGGTCATCTCGCGGATGTCCGCGACGACGATTGAGATATGTATTATTCGCGGAAACGAAAAAGATACACCAATTGCAATTATATAAAATATTATAAAACACACCTTGGACATTTTCACTTTGCAATCAGTCTTAAAAAGAAAATATCCAACTGACATTCCAATCAGATAAGGACCTAATCTCGTCCACGGCTTATCGTAGATCTTGTCAAAAAGAGCCAATGGATCGTCCGAGCTCGGCATGTGATTGTTAACTAAAGCGATATAACCGGTAGTTGCCCACGAGCTTATCAATAGGGTGACTAACGCAAAAGCTGCGATTTTGAAGTGATTTGTGGCAAGTATCAAAATGACTCCGCCAATAACATAAAACTGTGTATCGTNCGCCACATACCAGCTCCACAACATGCACTAAGTGTGAAAAAACATATATATACATATATATACATATATAAGAGCAATAAACTTCGCGTTAAAACCTTTATAAAAAACAACTTTTTTTAAACTCTCTTTAAATGAATATCTAAAATTTGCAAATTTCTATCGCGTCTCTTTGAGTCTCGTAAAAAAACACACCATTTGCTCGACTGGAAACCAGGTGTTGATGTAAAGAAGATTCCTCCACCAATATTTCGGGCAATTATAATGATCTGCTGTTGGTGGCTCAAAGATGGAATTTGCATGGAAATACTTCATCGAAACCTCAACAACTCCCAACACAAGCATGTACGGCGCGGTGAGTCTGCTGAATCTGTACAGAAGAAGCCCGATGAACTTCAGGCTGCCCGCGGTAAAACCTCGTGTGCCCTGTGTGAGTCTCTTTAGGTCACCCTTGGCGTTTGTTCTGAAGTACAAAAAACTCACGAGCAGGCCTCCCATAAAGAAAAAAGTGTCGACACTGAAGGCTCCGTTCGTGATGGTCTGAAAAAGAAGTTTTTTCTGTACGACCTTGCGATACTCCATGTTGTCCGAGTACTTGAAAAGGACGATGCACGTGTGCCCGAGAATAACCCAGGCCATTGATATCGCTCGAAGTCCGTGCACGGTGCTAATAGTGTCTCCGCCTACGTTACGGTCGCATATGATCTTGACGTTAGCGCGAATGGAAAACGAAATCAAAAGTTCCTCGAAGATACCTGTAAAAATACAATACATTATTGTAAAAGAAGACACCTTCAATGAAAATAATTCAACGATTGTGTTACAACAGAGAAAAATTCGACGTACCAAGTTGACNTCCGGTTATTACGGTTGAAGGCGGCTGCGACTCATTAGCGCAATCGTTGTTATTATTAATCGGTTGCACACCACTGTTGGTCACAGAATCTGCTACTGGAACAGGAAGGTAGACCTTACCTTGAAAAGCTGCGGAATATAACGATAAATTGCGTCACTATTTTTTATACCGTCCTCGTCTACGTCTCGATCTGTGAGCGATAGTCGCGTAAGTTTTACGTTAGTCCACACTTGTAATAGTTCACAATATATCGCTACACTGATTATCTACGTTTAATCAACATTTTTCAAACTTACCGGAACAAAAACCAAAAATAACTTTTTTTTTTTTTATATAATTCTCCGCTCGGTACAAAATGTCTTAGCAGTTTTGTCTTAGCTTTTGGTTTTGATTATTTTGATATCGGCGTTTTAGCCCAACTTGTAACAGCGGCAAGTAACGACAAGTGAAGAAACAATAAAAAAAAAACTTTTGCACTCAAAGAATCGTTTACCATTTAAGACCTTTTGATCGCTGTTGGTAAAATGATTGAGTTTTCCGTGCTTTTCCAAGTCGTAGATAACGTTTTTCTTGCGGGCTACCTCTCTCGATAAGTAATAATCGTATCCCGTACCGANAATCATTAGCACCAGGGATAACATACTGACACCACTGAAACACGTCAAATTTTCGTGCGATGTTATTTGCGCGCGTTGACAATTTTTACTTAACATTTTACTTAAACATATATTCACGCAGACGCAATAACGTTTATTAGAACGTCTTCCTATGGAAGTATGAATGACGGGCAATTTGTACATATTCCTAATTAAATTCAAACAAAATTATTATATTGTTTTACAATTAAATCCTATTTCATAATTAAAATTAAATCAATTAATCCAAAATATCTAATAATACTAATGTAACTCATCTAATCTCAACTAATCTACACTTTGATTTGAATAGTTCTGCACAACTTTAATTCCATGTAACAAATAACAAACGTCTAATATTTATACACGTATGTATATTACAGATGATATTATTCATTCGGGCACATGTAGATAATTTCTCATTTAAAATACGACTCGGTTGTCAGAATTCGCGAAAAACAAGCGGTTCGAGTGTTTTAACTTTTGTTTCGAGATTTTTTTCCTCTCAACTTACAATAAAATCCAAAACACCGGGTCCGTATACACGTTGTACGGATTATGTTGATCTCTAACTCTTTCGATCAACGAGTGTTTCGCCGCAAATTCGCCCGAAGCAAGTTTTCCAATCACGGCGACGTCGGAGGCGGTACATGAAAATGGCAAACAAACGCCCAAATAAATCAACCTTGTCTGAAAAATAAGAGTTTTCGAACGGAGAAGATTTACATACAAATTAGTTTTTTAAGACAACAACAACTACAAATAAAAAGAGATCTTAATATTACTTACCAATGCATATTGAGACGCATTTATAGAAATTTTCATCATATAAAATCCTAAGCGATACGGCGGAGTATCGCTCGACTGAATATCGGTCCACATATTGGTCCCGGTAAGATCCAAATTGATTCTTTTTTGCGGTTCCGTATTAAATTCCTGTACCTCTTCTATGTATATCGACGATTTTGTACCAACTTTCGAATCTCTTAGAACATAATTTTGCCCTATATAGTTGCATTCGGTAGCCGATCCCATAAAATACGAGTTACCCCAAAAAAAGCCATTGGTATATCTACCCGATGCGTCATCCACTACAACAAGAAATATTAATTTGACGCGTTAACGTGTCTGGCGCCCAAGATTTTTTAACAAACAAAGAAATATTAATTTTATCGATTAAATTGACATTGCGATTTCTGGAACACCACGATGAAAGCAAATATGTGTAACGCGAGGAACGCTTTCATCCAAGAGCTGCGACGATCGGACCGGAAATAATCAGTTGTTGCGGCGAAAGTACTTTTATTCTAAGTAGGTCAACGACTTTAACTCGTGCCAGAGGAAAACAAATATCAAATCTTTTCACGTGTTCGATAACTCGTTTCAGAAACTCTCGAAATCATAAAAAATTCTCTTATTCCATTTGTGGATATATTTTTTCAACAGATACTCGTGTAAAATGTATTTTCTTATTCAATTGTATTAATTTTATTATACACCGTTATTTAAATTTAAGTATTATTTTTCTGAAAGCCTACATATTACGATATTATTCTACAGGGTTGTCGTCGCAAACCGCGTATTAGCCGCGTGTTTCAATCATCACCGCTAAAGCGTGACGTTGGATAAAGTAGGTAAGGCTCGCATAGGAAAATGCTTTCGATAAAGTATACTTTCTACGAAGAAAGTAAAAAATATTATCCAATCCAGTACGTCGGAAGAGTTACAGGACAGTATTGCATAGACGACTCGATCGCGCGAACTCGTTACGTCACTTGCGGTTGCATATTTGCCGCGCGGGTACGATAACAGTTTTTTACGCGCGCTAAAAATTTATATTTATCCATTTATACTNTTTTTATAATATTTTGGTTGGTTTTGTTACATATTTGTTCAGCTTCAATTTACAAAACAATTACGTCAGATGTCGAACAATACTAGTTTCTTTTTTAATTTTAAAAGTCGATTCAAAAGATTAAATAACGTACAAAAAAATTAAAAAATAAAACTTTAAGTCACGTAACGTTCACGACCTTTAGATATGCAACAATAAACACAAAACGTGAAATATATCACCCGCAAAGATTCCGAGGTGACTTTCTTTTTTCTATTTGCATACATGGATACGGCGTACTTGATAATCTCGATACATAAAAGAAAACGCATTCAGTTTCTAATGCAGCGTTTCAACTGTTATTTATGGTCACGATATTACGACAATAGATTCTCTCCCATACGTTTTACAGCAAATCTATAATTAACCGGTAGAACGATCGATTGCTAAAGTAACAACTTTCTTAATCGCTGGCAAGTGAGCAAACAAAAATACAAATTTTTTTTCTCCAGTCGTGTACAAAAAAAAAACAAAAAAAAACAAAAACAAAAACCGCGCAAAACAACAAGGTTTTCGCTTTAGAAATAGCTTATATTCTCATTCACTTCGTCTTTTTTATTACAGGATTGGTTTTCTCTGAACTTTGTAACATATATTAACATCGCGCTTTGTATGTTTAACCAATTTTCACAATTTAACAATATTTTTGAAATAAAGAATAAAATTAATTCTAAAATTATACGAAACAACAACATCAACTTGTTCATTACGCGAGTACATACGTTTATCTAAAAAAGACATTTTATAACGTTAGAGACAAATATCGTATCGACTATTGTTGCGACGACAGTTGCGTTTAATGACACCAATGTTGCTACCGATTTGAACTTTATTGATAGCAATTAATTTCACTTAATTTCACTGTCTATCGCAAGCAACTGTAATCTATAATCATCCGTCGCTTGTGCACGAGAGAGAAAGAGAGAGAGATGTTAGATTACATCATAGAAATTACTCAATCAACGAGATAAAACAGGAATCGTATTCACGAGAATATATGGTTATTAACTAGGAAATATAATGTTGCGTAATATATAATATCCTAACAGTTGATTCTTAGTCATCTCTTGTATTTCTTGAGTGTATTATAATTTCAGAGTTATCAACTTGTTACGTAAATATATGTACTTTTAAATTGTTTTAAATAATATTTATAAATAAGTCTCTCGAAGCGAAAAAGAAAAAAATGCATTTTACACAATCTCGATTTACGCACACGAGTCAATTGACCACGAAATCATTTTCAATAGATCTAAACTTGACTAATAGAAACTAAAGAAGCGATGGTTTTTCACATATACAACAACGCGCATCCGGATGTGCAGAATATTGTATGTGAGAAAATAAACTCACAGCGGTACCTTTCACCTTTCCTCAACAGTAAAATCCGCGAAATTCACTAGTACCGCAACAATGACGCGCATCGTGGAGAGTGAAAGTTTCAATGCCGTTAAGGTGTCTTTCTTTCCGTCATAAAGTTTCACGAACGCAATGGTTCGCTGACATTCACTGAGACATCTCAAAGATAACAAAGCTCGCGTGCTCGACTACAAAATTGCCGTGTAGAAAACACCAGACCACTATTTTCTGTAGTAAATTACAACATTTTTACGACTTTCCTCTTAAATTAACAATTTTATTTTTCAAGAATAAAACACAAGAAAGTAAATTGCGATTCATTTAAGAACCTGAACAGTAGATGTAACTTACCGATTTCACTAACAAAAAACCTCTTCTTAGAAAAAAAAAAAAAAAA